ACCAAGCCAGACAAAGGAAACACAGGCTAATAAACACCAGGTAATGCATCAGACTGAAGTTATTGATATCATTTAAAATGTATTAGCCCATCACCCAAATGTGTGTGTATGAGAGTCTGGTTTATCCCCAGGGGGTCTGAACACACACAGCAGAGTCCCATCTGTTAATGTTGTTGACAGCTAAGTGTGTGTGTGTGTGTGTGTGTGTGTGTGTGTGTGTGTGTGTGTGTGTGTGTGTGTGTGTGTGTGTGTGTGTGTGGCCACAGGGGGTGTGTAGCATGGAAACATGACAGATCACAGCCCTAAATGACAGGGGGGGCTGAAACAAAATAGATGACACCATGTATTAGACACTCATTTATATGAATACCTACACACTGAAGAATACACACACACATTCTCACACACACACACACACACACACACACACACACACACACACACACACACACACACACACACACACACACACACACACACACACACACAAAGCCTCATTAAAACCTCGAAGCTCCATGTTCAAAACAAATACTACATGAAACACCACAGCCCTGCATGCCCCGGGGGCGAGATGTTTTCAGTAGAAAATACATAGAAAAGATGTTTCAGCTTTGGAGTCTGGAAAATAAAAAATATAAAAAGCAAAAAGAAGTATAAACTAATTATGTTCCCATTTGTGTTAATTCTGTGCTGCATGGCTTTGGTTTTATTCAGACTATATACCAAAAAGAATCAAAATTATATTAACTTAGCCACTTCCCGCATCTGCTTACAAATACATTTCTAATGGCTCTCTCTTCACATTTTATACATACCGTAAATGATACTCAACAGGCTATATTTCAATGTTGTGACAGCCCCATGTTGGCATGACGTTTTGATCGAGTGCGGAGAAGTGAGATCAGAGTTTGAGGTTTGCACTTTCTGCTATGGCTGAGTGCCGCTGGTCCACATGTTTCACCGCTAATTCTCAAGATGGCCAGCTCGCAATTAGCCCAAACAACTGCACTTTCACCGATAAAGCCTTCACATGGCATGTAAATGTCAAACTTTGCATCTAATGCTTCATGTAGAGGAAAGCGCTTCGTCTCCTAAGTGAGAAAGAGAGTGCATTTAGATGCTCGCCCTCAAACTTTACAACCCCACTGCACCCGTATTTTTTAACAGTTATTCCGGACTAATGCGTGCACCCCCTGTCCAGCAGGCTAAGGGCTGCCAGGAACAAACCGCTCGATCACCCCCTTTGTCTTTTTATTACTGATGCCCAATTTCTCTGGCTACCATTATCTTTCGTTAAAAACGATCAGGTTACTGCTTATCGGCGCCCAGCAAAACTGCTTGGATAAAGGGGGGTCGACATGAACTCTCCCCAGAACAAAAAACAATGAAAACAACCTCCAGCAGTGAAGAGGGGGGGCACGCACTTGAGGGATGATGGGAGGAAAAGTTCAAGAGGTTGAGTTGGTTTCCCTTTGCTGGGGACATTGCTGAAGATGCAAAAGGAATAATTGGATGAGCTTATTATTCCTTAGAGAACATCTAGCTTCTTTTATAGATTCACAGTATGAAAAAATGCAAATACCAAACAGTTCACCCATTGTAGCCATGCCTCATACTGCTCAAACCCCTCTTTTGCAGCCCTGTTCGGCAGTAAATCTGTATCCGCTCGTTGTACACCCGTTTTTCAAAGATTTGGGTACGGAGGAAAAGAGAGAGGGTTTTATTTTCTGACGCTGCGTGAGTTCCCTGACGCACCGGGGAAACATATTTATGTATAAAAGACATCACAAAGTGCATTTTGCATGATAGGTCCCCTTAAAGAAAACCTAAAAAAAAACATAAAGATGCTCAGGCAAGTTCAGCCTCTTTTAATCTATTATTTCTGAGCGCTTATCTGCAATGGACGTCCAAGATAATTATCCTGAAGATGTGTACAATGTAGCCAAAAATATCTGCATCGTGCCTATTTGTTCGCATATAGCTGAACCCTGACTTAAATAAAGAGTACGCATTTTGATGATCTTAAAGCACCATAACTGCACCTATGAGCCGTCACAACCCCAACTAATCATGTTAATATGCTGTTTACATTACAATAACAAACTTCTAGATGTTATAAGAACAATGGCACCTGTCCCTTTCACCTCGTACTTTGATAACCTCTGAAGAAAACGACTTTGAGGTAAATCCAAAGCCTTGAGAAACACTTTACCATGTTCCTAAACAGTGCGACAGACTAAACGGCTGCTGGTGGGTGTATGAAAGACAGCACACTCTTCCCCTGATAAGAGAAGAAATAAAAGCCTTAGAGGTGAGCCCACGGGAGGCTGGGATGTGGCACACATTACTGGATGAAAGCATTGCTGTGGCTGGGTGATACGATGTGTCCCTGCTACACAAAGCTCTGGGGCTGTAAACCTAAACAGTTACATAACTGCTCCTCTGAAGACAAGCAACGACAGATAACAAGGGTCATTAGGAGAATGGCACAAAACATAGGGTAAGAGAGGAGATGGTTTTCACTTTCATGAGTTCAAGTAAGTTCATTTTGGTGTCCCTTTAGAGCAAGATAGAACAAAATCCCAGCAACTGGAGATGTATGAAGAATCACACTACTGTAGTAATCAAGATACTTTCAGAAAATTATGATCTTGAAGCGTTTGTAATTGATATTTCCAATATTTTTTTAAACTAGAGGGAATTCCGAGAGAGTCTCGGATTTTAACTAAACGTCTTTAGATAGAGGACAATCAATGGTTACAGAACTAAAATATCACTAACAACCTGCAAAAGGGATAACCAGCTGGAGGCTACAACTTTGGGTCCTGATACTGATCATTGTTCCAAATCGCCTCCTCAGAGACATTTAAGAATGCATTTGTGTTGCCAGTTTGAGAGACAGGGGGAGAAAACCCTGATGTTGTTGCCATTTATTGGAGGATTTACAATGTGACCTTAGAGATCAGAGGTTATCTGCTCAGTGGACGTCTGTTGGCTGAAGGGCTGGAAATAAATGGTTCCATCTTCCCCTGTGGACAAGCAACTCAATCAAGCTAACATGAGTGTGCTACTGTCGGCATTCTCCTACACTTTTCCTTCACTGTGTGTGTGTACGTTCACAATGATGGATAACAAAACCTCTGGGACATTGAGATAGAATAGTCCTACAGCTTCTAAATAAAACCTCTGGCCCGAATCATAACATCTTCTAATGACAGAGCAACAAAGTGAAGGAACAGCAGTTGGGTAAAAAAAGAAAACTTCCAACCCAGAATGCCCATTTACGGCGAGCTTGTTAAATAAATCAGAGGGGTCTCCAGAGAGGAAAGCAAAACATTGGAGGCTCCTTCTAAACTCAGCTTCAGCAGGAAAGCAAACAGCTCGGGTCCAAGTGAAAGTCCCTCTAGGTACTAACTCTGGACTTTGGGGCACACTGGTGTCCTTTACACTAACATGTTGCAAACATGTACAATACTTAAGTTTGTTGCCTGCAAAAACACAGTGCTGTCAGACGAAATACCAAGGATTTCATGTTTCTGTGACAATGTGCCAAAAGCAAAACAGACGGAAGTGAGAGTTCCCCTTGGAGGATAAGTTTATCTTGAAACAACTTAAAATGTTATGGTTCATTGATTAGAAAATTGTAACTGTAGTTCCCAAACATTGGGAGATTTGGTGATTGTAAATAGGAAGTCTTCTGTTGCTCTGGACTTGGAGCCTAATTCTATAAATTCTATAATTCTATTGTCATCTTAAACATATACTGAATTAGCAAATAGTGTTTGCAGTTTACCCACGAATTTACAAATAACTATTATTGTATTACTTGGCACTGAAGAAAACTTTAAAAGCTCAATTGTAAAAGTTTATGGACTATATATCCTTGCATTCAGAGCTTCAAGATCGTAAAGTGAGGGGAGGATTTATCCTTGTCATTTAATATCATAGATCTCAAAGAAAGGCGTTCAATCGTCACATTTAGAAAATTGACCAAAATCGTTACTTTCTTTTCTGTTGATCGACTTATTAATACTTGACTAAATATTGCTGCACTGCAAACTTCATAAACACATGGATACAGTGTCTTTATAAACAAGTCTTGTCTTTAGCTATCAGCTCACCCACAAAGCATTCCCACCCTCTCGGAGTCTGGGATGGAACATGCCATTCCCCCTTTCTGTCTTTCACTGTCTATTTCTGTTGCTCTTCTCTATTTTCCCCCTCTCACAGCGGGCCAGAGAACATGTGGTGTGTTTATTTGTTTTTTTGGCTGTTGTTGGCTCAAAGTGGATGTTCCCAGCAGCGGCAGCAGCGTTTGTCTCTCTGACTGGCAGCTATACCAAAGAGGGGGGGACTTACTGTTATATAAGATACACTGCCGCACCAGTGATGAACCACAATAACTTACGTGGAAGGTTGGGATGGTCGCTTCAACTGAGGAAAGCTATTTAAATACTATATTAATCATCTGTATGGTTAGGATGGAAAAATGTGATTGTAAAATCTATTGTCTGTGAATAAGTGCTATTCTTGCGTTAAGAATTACTTCACAAACACAGATATAGTATTAAATGTGCATACTTAGATGCATAATTATTTTTTTAATCCTCTCCTGACCCCATTAACCCATCACACAGGAGGGCGAGGTTTACACATTTTCCACCAGGTAACACCAAGAATGATTGACAGGTAACTATCCATAGATTTCAATAGACAACGTGCCTCTATTCATCATTTTAGAAACATACAAGGCAATAAGAAGAACAAATGGCAATGCCTTGTTGAAGTATAGTTGAAGGAGAGACGTGTGTGGCACAAACTCACTCTCATTCCCATGTGTTCTTCATAGGAAATCAAAGGCGACACTGAAGGACACAAATCATCAAACTGAATGGCAGAAGCATGGAAGCGGCTGGTGCCAAACAGGAAATGCTACAGCAAATATGTTGCAGGGTTTTTTTTCCCATTCAAAGAGTGTTTGAAGGATATACAAAAGGAACTTAGTTCTGAAGCGAAACAACACAGATCAAAAGATGTATAAGATACTTTTAGAGATGCATCCTTTCCTTTTAAATGCAAGGCAACTTTAGTGACTCATATTTGCCCCACTTCCTCTCCATGTCAGACAGGAGATTTGCATTCCCTGTGCCACTTGTCACTTATAATTCTTTTACCTGCGAATGTTCAGCAACAAACAAATCTAGAAAAGTTTGATATCTTCTGTTAAAGTTTGGAAAGTATCAGAAGCAGGTTCAGAAATAACCTGCTATAAGTTCTCCTCTGGCACTGACACATGCATCACTTGAGAGGAACATGAGTTCGTTCAGCTGCTCAGAGTTGACCCAAATTAATTGAACTCGATTGCAGAGGAGGAAACGGAAAAGGCTGCAATTTGACTCAATTGCGGGGAAAATGACAGGAGTCAAGCTTCACTTGACCAAACAGATTTTCCACAGAAGTTCTGGAAATATGACTCTCTGCTTATGCAACGTCCAAACAACAAGAAGGAGAGCAGCAAAACTACCCAGAACCACAGAGCCCACTGTGTAGGCAGGATCACGTTAACAAGACTGAAAGGGATTTTTATAGGAACATTTCTCACAAGAAGACTGGGGGAACCCCCTTAAATAAGCTATTAATCCAACCAGCGTCATTAGAGGCCACCGCGACAAAACCACTGTATTGTGCATCGGGGCTAGACAGCTAGTTAAAGTGAGTCATGTGTTGGGAAATGTCCCCGAGAGGACACAGACGTCTCTCTTTGTAGGTGGCATGTTTTCAGCAGCTGTCTCTTACCTGGACTTGCCCCTTTCCCATGATCTTGTCCACAATCTCGTTGTCGTCTTTGTTGAGCAGGCTTTTGTCGTAACAGTTCTCGTAGCACAGGATCCGCAGGAACTGGGAGCCCTCCAACTCAATCTCAAACTCCTAGTCAACGACACACAAACAGACAGGAGAGTAAAACATCTGCTTTCATTGTTTGTACAGTAAGGCTAAGATACACAAACAAGGATACATTTTAAACCTGATATTTAAATCATATCACACATAACTTTAAACTTAGCTCCATATTAAGAAAGATTCGATTTAACCTCTCTTTAAAAAAAAAGATTGAAATAAATGAAAATACATTTAAACATTAAACTTCAATTGAAAATGTGATCCAGAATTAGCTATTTTCAGCTAAATAAATCAAGTTTCCCTAATAACATGTTTATGACATATTTAGTTTTATGTGTTGCACAATTGTTCTCAAACTAACAAACTGCTTTGCTTAGTCATCATGAGTCATCATGAGTCAACTAAATACATTTTTAACTAGCAGCTAGCAAAAAATGCTACCCCTCTTTTACATCCTTCTAACTAGGTCTTGACAGAAAGTAAAAAACGATTTTTTTTGGATTATATATAAACCTTTTAATAAACAGAGATTTTTTTTATTTTATAACAAAGCTCTGCTGAATTTAAAATCTGGATTCACTCAGTTCAAGCTCTGAATAAATATGACCTTATATTAAAGGAACCTGTTAATGAAACAATGGTAGGCGTCTTTGTGACTGACTTCGTTCCAATGTGGCTCCATGGTGTCTCTGAAGACGCGGGTTTTGGCCTTGCTGACGAAGTATCCATACGAGTCCACTTCAAGGGTGCAGTATAGATCTAGGAGGAAACACAGGAGATAGACAGATCCATCAGGAACACTGAGCACTGAAAACCGCTGAATAAGCTCTCGGGCCTCTTGAGTGCTTTGTCATTGTGACAAGACGCGTGTGTAACTTTATGAGATATTACAGTAAATGTGTCTTGGAAACATATACTGTCTAACAATGGTAGGTCAAATGACAGAAGTATATTCATTATGTTTTAATCATCCTGTAGTAAAAGTACAGCCATTAAATAGTTATTACAGCCATTTAAACAGACCTTTAGCAGACAATGATGTCATTGTGGGTAGATAATGTATAGTAATTACAGCCAACAGTATTTGTTTTTGAACACATATGTCATGTTTTAATATTGTGAGACTCACACAGACACAGGGCTGTGAATAATTATGTTCATTATTTAATGATAGTTGGAAAATAACAGTACTATAGCCTAATCTTTATCTGCAACTGTGCAGAAATAACGGGTTTAAAGACAATGTTTAATTAAAACTCAAATGTCAAGATAATCCATGAAGCTTCGAAACCCTGAACTCTTCAGCACAGCCCTCCCAAAAAGTAACCTAGACAATAATATATTAACAAAATAGTTGCTGATTACCTTTCAAACAAATCAACTAATCAATGTATCTACTACTTGCTCCAGATCTGTACTGGTGTATCTTATCAACTACAAATTCACTATATACATCCAAATGAATGAAAGTACTTCTGGTCTGCTTTTCCATATCAGGACCAATATTTGCAGTGTAAAAATATAGGGAGCAGTCAAAATCAAATAAATATTAACAGAAACAGAAAGGGCCTTTTGCATCCGGAAGTTCCGGAACCCATTTTCAAGTACAACTGTTTCAAAGTCGAATTTGTACAAAAGCTTTCACAGTGACAGTGAGTAAGATTTTAATTCTGGTATCCACTTTGTATGGAATGTGCACTTGAGATTGCGCTCCAGCGAAGTAGAAGTAGCCCTTTAAAGTGTCGATATGTTATTTGTCAGCTAAAGGACATCAATCTCCACCCTGTGTACACATCACTCAGGCCCTCTTCCTCTCTTTACATCCTCATACTAGAACACGCCCTCCCCCGGGATTGGCTCACACTCAATTCTAACACGGAGCAATTAAGTCTGTTAATGTGTTTCTCTAAATGCTGTTGTAGCAGTTCCTGCAGACATGGCTGCCGGCTGTCTGTAAAGTGTCAATAGTCGGTCCCACAGCCCGGACCCCGGTCCCTCGGGTCAGCCTCCACCTGACAGCATGATGGATGGATGTACTGCTTGACCTTTCACAGGGAGAGTCTCCCCGATTGGGAGCCAGAGACAGAGGTGAAGGTGCATCTCATATGAATATAAAACCCTTCCGCAGTTTACAATGGAGGATGGAAAACAAACAGCTGGGCCTGAGTGGTTAACGTTATAGGGAGATACCAAGCATACCACCTTGGTGAGCAAACATTCACACGTGCTCATATAACTAAAACTATACAGTACAATGGAACCTCTTTCCATCTGGTTTCATTCCAACTTTGTTTGTTTTCTCAGCATCCTGACGGCTCTGGCATAATTACTACCAGTGAGGAAGAGATTAGCGTCGGTGGTATGAAGGAGGTTGGGCAGGGGGGATATTTATAAAAAATGAAGCTGTTATCGTACACTTCCGCTCGTACGGAAGAAAAACAACTCAAAGCCTGTGGATTCTGACATTTGACATCGCAAAAATACTAACTTTCAGAGTTTGGTTTAAAACGGATCTATACTGAAGCCCACAGATGCAATTCAGTTTGGCACTTTTGTATGACTATAAAAACAGCTGTTCAGAGGAAAAAGTAGTGAGGGCATTTCTTTGAGACACCCCTGTGATTCAAACTGGTCTTTTTCATCTAGCCTGCAGAGAAGAGTGCATTCATAGTGCTGAGCAGCTCCCACTTTTCTCTGGAAATTGGTTTCCTCTCCATCTGGTTTATGTGCCCAGGACCTGGAATTCAAACAAGGCCGGGGAGAGCATATTTAGAGAGGTCTTTGTGTGTCCTCACAGCGTATCCAGGAGGGCTTTGAGAAGTAGGACAGACTAAACGAGGCCTGGAAGTTTTTATCTGGCAGGTCAGAGTCAGGCTCCCAGTATGAGGGGGCAGCACGGGGTTTCTGACCCTAAATGCAGGGGTTAATGAATACCATCCGCTTCCATCTCAATTAAACTGAGAACTCCTGCCCTCGAGTGTGTTTTCATACAGGAGGCTAATCTTTGCCCGAGGCTGTGTCGAACGCTCGGTCAAAAGGCGGGTTCACAGAATAAGGAAGCAAGTGATAATCAGTTAAACTAATCAGAGTCTCTGCAGCTACGAATCGCAGCCACCAGACCCTCTCTGTATGTCTCACTTTAAGGCATCAGGAGAATGTTTGTTTCTTTAAGAGAATAAAAAAAGGAGGGAAGAGGCGTAATCAAATTGTTTTCATGGCAATTTATGACTTGACTAATCTAATAAAAGCATGGCGGACAATGAATGGGAATGCATGCAGCCATGGCTGGATTTGATTACACGCAGAAATCACAAGAGAACATTTGAAACCTTGGAGCAGTGTTTTGGCCATTTACTTTTATGGGAACAGTGGCGAGTGACAAAAATGTTGGTTTTGATTCAAGCATACTAGTGAGACCTTATTTTATCTGGTAGAAACTGCGCTATTACTACATTATTAGTTATATCTAGCTAAGCTTTAAACCTCTAGGTGTAGTTGGAAATATGGAAATAATTTACTTTTAACAACTGTTGTCAATCTGGATGTGAACATGGGCAACTGCAGTGTCACAGCATCAGGTTGCAGTAGCTGTCAAACACATATAGTGGGAACAATGCACTGTGTCACTTGTTGACTCTCACACATACTCCAAAATAAACCAAGAACAAAGTGAAAAAAAGGTTTCATCTCTAACTCGGTCATGTTTTCCACAGATTTGACTTTATTCTCAGAGTTTTTAGGAGACGCTAGATTCCCAGCTCCTTCCTCTGTGACCCAGTTTGACTACTTTACCCCTGGGCTGGATTTAAAGCCCTTTCCCAATGGGGGGGGATAGTTGTGACATAAATAACTCAGCTTCAATAAAATATTCTGGTGCATGCTTGTGTGATCTTCTAATAAAAAAAGTAATCATAGAAAGGAACAACAAGACAATAGCTGATGAATCTGAACGATTGAATAAAGACTGTAAGGCTATCTATATGATATATATTAAATATCTGAGGATAATGACCCTATGCATGGACGAATATCACATACTGTTCCCACACTGCCATGGAAAAGAGCAGAACATGTTTTCATAATTCTCGAGCAGAACTCACAGGGAGATTACAATAATGGGACAAAAAACAAAAACAAATCCACACACAGGCTGATTTACACAACATGCCACACAACATCTACATAAAAAGGAACATTTGGTCCCATAATTAAGTTACATTTGGATGAAACTGTGTAATTTCAGTCATTTGTGGTACTTGAGCATTTAGAGACAATGTCCCCCATCAAGTCTATGTTTCAAAGGCGGTTTTTCAAAACACCCATGAATGAGAAGAATGTTAGATTCTGCCAGAGCTGGACTGGTTTCATAATCAGGACTCTACAGGGATATAAAAAAATACTGCAAACATACATCTATCGCTGAAAGCGGTCAAAGCGACAGTATGCAATTAGAAAACAGGCATTGTTTAACAGTAAAGAGATATTGGTCAACATATTGAGGCTGCAGGTCAATCAACTATAAAAGGATTCATTAATACTCTAAACCAGAACGTGGCTTGAAGTTGCTAATGAATGCAAACAAATAAATAATGTTACATGTATTGATATAAAGTAAGTGGGAAAAACTAAAACATTTGCATTCATTAAATATATTAATTGCATCATAATAGCGTCAATAAACACTTTATATAGCATGATTAACTGATGATAGACAGCTGTAGTAAATAAAACGTTGGGTAAACTTGCTAATTTCAGCATCCTATACACACTTAACCCACACATGCAAACACACACACATATACACAAAAACAGTCACCCACACAGCAAATTCCTCACATTGTTTTACTGATTGTATTTACCTGTTATTTGAAGTGAATTTTTGTTTTTAGGATGACTTTCAACATCTGTCCAGGGACTACAGACGAAAAATAGCCTGTTGGCTAACTCTGGCGCATTTACAGAAATGTCAATCAATGTGCACTGTCCCTGTCAAATAAATATATAAATAAATAAATGAAAACACAGGTGCATTGTGGGTATTAATGTTTTGAACACGGCTAAACAAAAACATGGAGTGTGATCATTCTAGTATTAAGTGAACAGAAGCCTCTGTTATAATTATAATGGAGATGATGAATGGAGGTAATTCAAAAGCATTAGCTGCACATATGGGCTGATTATGACACTTATGGTTTTTTATATATCAGATTATAATTACATTCAACATACTTTAATTCTTGTCGAGTGTCCATGCTATTCGGTAATTTTTTTTGCTCAATACAGTGCAAGAGAAGGTTTGTTTATTTTCTTCACCTGACACAAGGGTCTGGTGTAAGTATCTGAGGACTTCCCAGGGGAAGTGTGCATGGATGCTGTTTCAGGTTTTTACTATACGTTAAACAGCATTTACAACATGTGCATTCATTCCAACAACCCTGATCATCACATTTCATTTGATTTTTAGTTTGACAATAACACCTACTAAGTGTTATATATTTGAAGGATAAATGCTTCTGCTGTAATCCTCATCACCATATTAACCCCTAACAACCACACGCTACCTTCATGGCTTGCATGCCCCACCCTGCCTCTGTATGCTTCACTGGACACACTGCAATCCAACTGTATCAGTGAAACTACCACACACACACACACACACACACACACACACACACACACACACACACACACACACACACACACACACACACACACACACACACACACACACACACACTTAAACCCCATCAGCTCTCCACACTCCATAGAGGATCAAACAGGCTTTCAGAGGAGAGAGCTTTCCAACCCATTACCCGGGAAATTCTAGCGGGCCAGCTTTCATGGTAACAGAGGAAATCACATTTCTTCATCTCTTTTTTTCCATATATTTGATATGTGAACTGGTGCAAAAGGACACAAAGTGTACCTCAGCAGCTGTCCGCTACTGACACGTCTGCACGGTGCCAACATAACACTCGGCTGATAATAAACACACATGCACAGCTGTATCTGCACGCATACAAAGGAGCCTTTGTGCAAGGTAGGAATGATCAGAGACAACTGGCATTATGTCTGCCAGCAGTTTTAAACATGTCGTTGTTTCTGTTTCATGAAAACAACCACAGGAATTCCTCTGTGGCTTCCACTTTCTTTTTCTCTCTTCTATCATCTAAACCCTTATAGATGTCCATCTGGCTGTCTCTGTGTTGGGTTAGGGCATGATGGAGACTGCATGTACAGACTGCAGTGATTGACTGGATCATGTGTTCTGCTGGCAGACACGAATCTGCACAGCAGCTATGTGCGAGGGGATGCTGAGCCAGGAGTGTGTGCACAAGTGTGGTGAAATAATGAATATGCCGTTTCTGGACAACTTACTGGCTGAGTCCTTGAATCCTTTGGCGGAGTGGACGATCACGTGCAGGAAGCCGTACAGACCAGGAGTCTCCTCATCTGCAACACAAGCACACAGTTCCTTCAGTCAATACGGCTGTACCAGGGTTTCCGCTAGGATTTTTTCTTGCCGGTGAAGTGTCCGGAAATAATTAATTTTACCGGACAAATTTGAAACTTACCGGTCATCTTTCAATAATAATAATAACAATTGTGTAGAAGAGTTTCCATTAGCAGGTAATTACAGGACTATGACCGGTAATATAATGCTGATGTTTAAAACTCAGTTAATGGGGCTCTTTTTATATTGCTTCAGTTTATAATCGTAACAGATCGAAAAGTTCAGATTCATTTTTCAATAAATGATGCGCTTCCCCAAACAACAAAAAACATAATTATTACATTCAAACAAACTACTTATATTGTAGCAGATGAAGTATATTAAATCAAATCATGTTTTATTTATAAAGCACATTTAAAAAAAATGTTTGGTCAAAGTGCTGTACATACAATAAAAATACTTAACAATAAAAACACTTTACAACAAATACAACAGCACAAATTAAAAAAGATCACACACAGGGAAAATGTCAGGAGTTGTGCTCCGCTCTGACTAGAAGGCCAGAGAGAAGAAGTGAGTCTTCAGTGTAGATTTAAAAACCCCTAGGGTCTGGGCCGACCTCACATGGAGGGGCAGAGTGTTCCAGAGCCTAGGGCCAGCTGCTGCGAATGCTCGGTGCCCTCAGGTTTTGAGCCTGGTCTTGGGCACTACCAGCAGCAGCTGGTCAGCAGACCTTAAAATTATTCAAAAGTTTACATTAACTTTGGATAATAAGACGGGAATAATAAACGGAACCCTTCCCCCTCTCCTGACAGCCCGTCAGTATCAGACTCATGCAACTCACTGATCCAGTAATGAGTGACCCGACAGTGAAGAATACACATATTTATAACTAGTTTAGCTTGTTCCAGAGCTAGATAAAATAGCTAAGTGTGTTAGGTCTAACTTGAAGTGTGTGTTTTGCTCCGCTCACCGGTCCGTCACAGCGGGCGGAGATGCAGGGGATCATGCAGAGCTGCGTGTCCGTCAGCAGCAGCTGATCCTGATCTCTGATCTCTTTCTGCTTCACACACGTTGCATACCGCTATTTTATTGTCTTTTTCGGACAAGCCATTTTGGCGAGCTTCTGTGGCCGTGCACAGAGAAAAGTCTCATGTATTTTGCATCATCTGATCGGCACTCCTGATCAGCCTTTATGGAGAGCACCGATCACACTATTAAGAGTGAATATCGGCCGATAACGATCGGCGGCCGATCGATTGGAGCATCCCTAATTATTTCCGGACATTTTGACCGGCAGGTTTTGAATTTACCGTTTTTTTATACATTTTACCAGCTAAAAAACGGTAATTAACAAACGGAAACCCTGGGCTGTACATAAAGGTAATTCTGAATGAGCGTATGGATACAAAAAACCGAAGGAAAAAGGCAATAATTACACCTCTGTTTCTTTTTAATTTTATGAACTTTAAGGGAATATTCACTCAAATAAAATGTTCTGTACAGTACTTCTATTGATTAATCAACCATCTTATTATTTTTAAATTAAATAAATGTTTAGCTGAGTCAATTTATCATTTGGTATATAACATATAAAAGTTAAAAATATCTATTTCAGTTTCTCTTCAATCTCAGTTTTGACAGTCAAAATTGCAAAGAGATTATCTTTATATTTATTTATTTATTATCTTTACTTCCACATTTGAGGCTGAAAAGATAATTTTCTGAAGTTTCTGACAGAAACCGCTTTAACCACTAATCGATTATATATCAATATTTGCTATTATTTGTATAAATGTCTCGACTCATCAGAGTATCTATATGTGTTTTTCATTTATTCCAGGTCCAAACTGTGGATACACCTATCTTTATCTAATTACTGTTTTCACCCCTTTCAACACCCAGTTACCAATATATGTTCCTGGGGAGATATATTAAACATCAGATGGATCTAGCTAAAACATGAAAACAAATGCACCGGAGAATGGCTGAGGAAATGAATTTATTTGAAGACCTAAGTGAAAATGAATTGTTATGACAACCTTTCGTCTGAGCGGTATGAGACTTCACATCAACAAACTGTCTTCTGTGATGACAACTGAGCTTGCCGCCCACTGCAGCCTCGTGGGTGGACGTTTTGGTTTAGTAGCCTGAGATACCCCCAACCCCCACCCCCCGCCGACGGACACATGAAGAACACTCTTGCTTTGTTAAAGGCCTCTGAAGCCTAGCTGTTTCCTGGTAAATAAACTAACATGGAGGGCTGCAGGACTCCACTGTGGGCAGCTGAGAGGAGAGCAACCAACCCAGCAGGTTAATGTGAGTGTGTGTGAGAGTGTGTGTGCTTTGCGAATGAGCGACAGGGGAGCTTCACAGGGGGAAAGTTCAAAGGTTCAAGTTTGAGTTACCGCTTCAAGAGCGAAATTGGGATCTGTTTCTTTCAATTATCATCCAACTTGAACAATAACCTGTGGAAATCCATGATCTAATATGCGATAATTGATAATCCTCACAATGGAGTCAAATGGAAGTGATTATTTAGGGGTTTTCAATATCATCCATCCTCTCAGTTATGATAAACATTCCTGAAACAGCTGGTCTCCATTTAAAGCCCTACTGTGTCACTGTGTGTGTTTATGTTCGCCTTACAATGAGGAGTGCTTTAAATGTCTGAGACAAGACGTGATGCCTGAGCTCTGATTTATATATCGCCTCCCTGGGGAATAAAAGAAAAACATTAACGACCTGAAGCCAAATGTTCAACCACTTACATAGCAGGAAGGTGATTTAGCAGAGCGAGTTAGCGTGCAAGTAAAAACCTCCTGGAGGCCGCAAAGCAGTTGACATTTTTAACCAAACTACTTCTTAAAATATGTACCCAATAGGACTAAAATCCTTTTGTAGATAAATGCATTATTTTCTGGTAGGGTCTCTGTTCGGAGTGCCCTTTTTTTAGTATTCATATTCTTTCTATTTGACCTTAGATTGCGGAGAGTGTAAAATGTATTCATGAATTTCAGCATAACGAATTAATGGTTGAATTGGCACTTAACTTAGAAGGGCACTCAGAAAAAGCAAACCTTCACCAAGGCTGTTTCCATAAGTGAGAAATAATGAGTGTTGCCCAACAATTGGGATTCTTCTCCAAAATTCAAACGTATAATAAAATGTATAATCTGAAATACATACATGTAAATAAATCCTAAATTGATGTGAGATGGTGACGGGATGTGTTTGCGGAGAACACATTTCCCTAAAGGAAATGTATTGGATCCACTATACGCCACTGTTCTCTGGCTGAAAAAAGTTCCAGTTCCATTGAGGTTAACCAGAATAAGAAATAACAAATTAAGAATGGCTAGGACCAGCACTTTAGAGATATTGGATGTCAAAATAACGACTCACTTGCACACAGACATGATTGTATAAGAAGCAAACTTCTTTTTTTCTGTGCGATGCGAGAAAGATTAAGACAGTGTGTCTTTCAGAGTCCTCTGTCTCTCATGTGTGTTGTGTGTGCACGTGAAAGAAGAGACCCTTGTGCCATTGGGGGGGGGGGGGGGGGAATCAGAGCAGGTCGGCCAGATGGCTTTAATGTCACCCCCAGCCTCTGAACGTGGTGCAACGTGGAGATCTGGAGCAAAAACAAACATTATGGAGCCTAAGAGCTGAGTGCAGGCCACCGGCGGCACACTGCGAGGCATTGACTGCTACGAGCTAGATGAGAAACATATTGTAACCTACATTCTCTCCTGCAGGCCCCCCGCTCTCATTATGTGGCTTTTAGAGTATAATAAGGGCTTTTGTGTGGATTTAAACTCAAATCAAAGAGGGGAGGAAGGAGAGTGTGTGTGATTGTGTACAAAAAAGGAGAAAGCAGAAGTGTTTCTCACCGTCTTTGTTACTCGTGACAGGAATGTTGTGCACAGTTCTGAGTTTGAAACAGGAGCTGGTCAGGACCTGGAGCTCCACAGGACTCAACAAACACGTCTGGAGATCTGAGAAACACACAGCAACCACAAAGCTGAGTTCAAACTTCTACTTTTATGCAGTACAGTGTGTAAAAAGTGCTTTGAAACCATTTTCAGATGGAGGATGCATAGTTGTCTAAGGTGAGAAAAGGCCAATAGGCAGCTCCTACCTTTCTTCTGGAGTTTCTGGATGCTTTCCCTCCACTCTGACCTCTCGTAATCGGAGGAGAGGAGGAACTGATAGCTCTACATAGACAGAAAAAAAAACGGTCAAACACACATCAACGACTATCTGCATTAATAGCATGATAGAAATGATAAAGAGAGTAGAAGCAGTATCCAGTAAGATAAGATAGAGCTTTATTGTCTCCCTTAGGAGAAATTTGTCTTGGGCATCGAGATAATAAACATAAAACATTCAGGTCAATCAGTCATAGATACAGAACAGAGATCACATATCACATGGCAAAGAAACAAACAAGAAACATACAGGTACAGCACTTTCCCTATTGCACATATCCCTATTGCACATACATAATCAAATATTGCACTTTCCCTATTGCATTCATACATAATCAAATATTGCACTTTCCCTATTGCACCTATGCATAGTGTCTGTCAGATGGCACATTCCCTATTGTGTCCATCCTATTACCCATAATGCACTTTCCCCTATTGAACCTCTCGATTTGCACATACTACACTGTAAACCATTTACCTCCCAACAAACTCCTAACACTCATAATCACAATTGTTTCTGAAAGTTCAGCAGCTTGATTGACAGTGGAACAAAGGAAAACTTATACTGTACCTGTTCAATTTATAGTTTGGTAATCTATACCTTCTGCCCAAGGGCAGCAACTCAAACTCTCTATACAGGATGTGTTTGGGGTCGCATGTGATTTTACGGCCTTGCTTTCTCACCATCTCCTCAAATATCTCCTGAAGAGAGGATGGATATCAACTCCTGAAGAGTCTCTATCTACGTAGGATGTTGTTTGGCTCGCAGCTGTGATTTTACGGGCCTTGTACTTCTCACCATTCTCTCAATATATCTCCTGAAGAGAGGGATGGTGTAGCAATGCCAATTATTTTCCAGCCCTTTTAATCAAGCTCTGGAGTTGTGATTTAGATTTAACTGACAAGTTACCAAACCATGTTGTGATGCCATAACGAATAATAGACTCAATTGCTGCCCTGTAGAACATTAACATGATACATTTATCCACTCCATGAACCCTGAGCCTATGCAGAAAATGCAGGCGCTGGCTTATCTTTGAGCATACCTGATCCACCTGATGGGCCCAGCCTAACTGAGCATCAAAATAAATCCCCAAATATTTAAAACGTGCTCAACTCCCTCCCTGTTGATAAGGACGGGGGTGTGATCACCTACTGACTTGGGGTCAAAGATCATTTCCTTTGTTTTTTTAACATTTAACACCAGGTTGTGCGCCTCACACCACTTCACGACCTCTTCAATCTCAAGTTTATAAATAGAAATGTCTGAGTCTCTAGTCAGTAGAGTAAGTATGGCTGTGTCATCAGAAAACGTTATAATGTGGTTGTGTGTGTGCTGACTCCTACACTCATTTGTGTAGAGTGTGAAGAGAAGAGGAGAGCTTTGATATGAAATGATCTCACACAGTGACAAGATTTTCATTTGGAAAGCTAAATCACATCCATCTCCAAGCGCTTTAATGAAAGAGTCATGTCTCTCTCTAGTGGTGAGACTCAAGTGTTGCAGCTTCATGGATGCAGAGAGTGACAGAATGGGATGAACACTTTACCTTTCCGTGTTTGTTGTGGACGCGGAAAGGGATGGTAGGAGAGTGCAGGAGCAGCCAGGACTCCTGCTCATTCATCTTCTTCCTCAGACGGTCCACGCGACTCTGCCCCTTCGGTGCTTTCTAAACAGACAGGTGGACAAAAAAAAAAAAAGACAGGTAATATCTCATTTAGTCCTGAACCTGAGATTAATAGAGAAGTGTTTATCAAGATCAAATACGAAACATTGCTGTACAGGCTCTAAAACAGATTTGAAGGGAAGGTCGAAGGGGAATACGTGAGATACTGCATGAGGTACTTTCGACTCCATGAGTCAGAATTCAAATCTTGATACTCAGATATGAGACCCTATTTTTAGATTCAGCATGTCTTACACTATCTAACCATGTCTATCACAAATAAACATCAACAAAGCCGCTCACAGAAAGAAAAAAAAGACACTGAAATCAATTCCAATTCTGGCATTAGATTTATCACATTTTCAAGTTTGATCTTGTCATTGCCCATCGTATATTCATTGGTAAACTGCAAATGGGAACAACTCAATTATTTCTTTATTTCTTTCTGAAAATGTGCCAAACATATTGACAAATAAAGGCTTCAAAAGGGGTCAGGTAGTAGCCCACAGCTTACTAACTGATGGCAGCATTATACCGAATGACTGTTGGTCATAAATAATAATATCATTTGTTGAAGAGCAAAGTTTTTGTTACATTTTAATGTTGGAGAGTATTCTAGTTTTTATATATCTGAAATCAATTTCTTAAACTCATCTTGAAATGTTGTCACTTTAAATATCTGTTATTTGCTCTACACTGCATGATCTTAAATCATATGAGGAGACTTATATATGATTGTGACATGAATCCAACATTTTTGCATTCAGAACCTTGATGCTGAATAACAAAAAACGAATTAAAATCAAATAATATAATACGTTATAATGAAATAGAGAGTAGAAGCAGTATCCAGTAAGATAAGATAGAGCTTTATTGTCTCCCTTAGGAGAAATTTGTCTTGGGCATCGAGATAATAAACATAAAACATTCAGGTCAATCAGTCATAGATACAGAACAGAGATCACATATCACATGGCAAAGAAACAAACAAGAAACATACAGGTACAGCACTTTCCCTATTGCACATATCCCTATTGCACATACATAATCAAATATTGCACTTTCCCTATTGCATTCATACATAATCAAATATTGCACTTTCCCTATTGCACCTATGCATAGTGTCTGTCAGATTGCACATATCCCTATTGTGTCCATACCTATTTACATATAATGCACTTCCCCTATTGAACCTTCTCGATTGCACATACTACACTGTAAACATTTCACCTCCCAACAACTCCTAACACAGCATAATCACAATTGTTTCTGAAAGTTCAGCAGCTTGATTGACAGTGGAACAAAGGAAAACTTATACTGTACCTGTTCAATTTATAGTTTGGTAATCTATACCTCTATACTTAAAGGGTAGTACACTTAATATACACTTAAAAGTATATGTCATGGTGTTGGTATTGCATTGTGTTTACACACCACTGTATGACCTCTAAACATTAGAAAATAACGATTTATGACTTACATTTTTCTTATCAGCATGGTAGCATCAGATTAGTGACATATTTCCTATTTTCCACAAACCACTATGGATAAACCCCTGAAATTGAGTGCCATGCTGGGATAGTCTTTGTATATAATTCAGGCTTCTTGTCAGTATTAAAGGAAAACAAAAACACACACACATCCTCCCAGCCCTCAGCAGGAAGCCGTGAGTCAGAGCCTGGAAACAATCATCTCAATCTCTCTGCTCCGGCCTCCTCTGACTCTGAACACCAGCCGCGGCCCCTCTCTGAGCCCCGGGTGGGCCACTTTATCGCAGTGAGACGGGAATAACAGGAACTCTCTGCCCCTGGAGCCTTCAGGGTCTCGGCCCGGTGAATTACTGTACAGACGGGTAACTGTTGGCGGACCCTTGCATCTTTTCTTTTTTTAACCTCAGGCGCTGAACCAGTGTTTCAGCACAGATAAGAATAGAAATATAACAACATTTGCCAGCAAGTGTGATGCAGCACTTCGATCTCGGGTGCAAATCAGTTTTGTCCAGTTTGAAGATACATTTATAGGTTATTTATAGGGTTGTATTGCCCTTGCATAAGAGCTACAGCAAAGGCAATAGAAATCTAAAGCCCCAGGCTTCTGTAGCAGTGCAACATACAAAATACTTAAAGAGATAAAAAGACGTACAATACTGGGGAGGGTTCCAATTCATACATCTTCCTTATTGCAGATCTTTAGTATTTCCTGTAACAAGGGCTGCAAAAGATGGAAACTTTCCATGGGAATTAACGGGAATAAACTGGGAATTTATGGGGATAAACTGGGAATTTTCTACAATTGAAGGTTGGCTCTTCATAGGGAACTTAAAGTGGACCTATTATGCTATATTGGAAAAATATTTTGTAGGGCCATACCTATACAAAACATGTCTGTGAAGTTGTTTGCTTAAAATACCAAACAGATCACCCATTGTAGCCATGCCTCATACTGCTCATACACCTCTTTTGTAGCCCTGTTAGAGAAACGCTGATTTTGGGTCCTTAGCTTGAAAAAGAAAGAAAGAGGCGGAGCTAATGCCTGATCAGAATTCTACCGGAGATAAAGTTAAATTCTGCTGGGATAAAACGCCATCCTGTTCTAAATCACATCAAAGATTATTTCTGAAACAGTATGGAGCTCAAATGCTTTTTCGAAATGTCATGTCTTTTGTTTGATTTTGCATTGAATATTTCCAAAATTCCCCAGCTTAACTTCCCATGGAAACTTTCCGGAAATGTTTCGCCCCTTTGCAACCCTACCTGTAACTGCAAGTCTGTTTCATTGTGACTGGTTAAATGTTCTTAAATATCTTCTAAATAAAGAATGGAGACACAATGGTGAAAATAAAATGTACATAAAACATGTAAAACAGAATAAGATTAATAGAATGTTAAATTAATTACTGAAGACTGGAATATTATACTGCTTATTGTAATAAAATAAGGTTATGATATCTGAGATTTGAAGCACTCACAAGGGTTTCCCAACATGATACTTTATACCTGACCTGTCCAAGACAAACAACAGCAGTGTTTTCCAGTAAGGAATCACTGATATGAGGAAGTCTTCCAACAAAGTTGGTGTATTCCATGATAAGAATCAGGAACATATTAGTCACTCTTGAGTCACTAGTGTTGGTGTTTCACATAATAGAACATCGGCTACTGATTTGCTGGAAGGTCCCATTTATAAATTTTAAAAAAAGGTCTCAAATGCAAGGATGGAACATAAATAAGAAGATTACCTTCTCTTTCTGTATCTCACTCTTTAGGACTGAGATCTTGATCTTGATCTCCTCGATCTCGTGCTCGGGCAGGACCTGGATGCTGGGCGAAGAGTCAGAGTCATCCAGGGTCTGGAAGGTCAGGTCCGCCAGAGGGATGTACCACTTACACTCATACTGCTGATGGCGACTGCACAGAGGGGAAGGAAGGGGATATAAGGTTTGAGAAGGAGGGTATGAAACACAATCTGACGAAACACAATCTGACGAAAAAAAATCGTACAATAAATCCTAACTCCTTTATAAGAATCGACAAAACTGTTGAGGACAGGAGAAGCTGTTAAAATATGCAGTCCGAAGGTAGCAGTGAATTGTTTTTAATTTTTTAACAGCCGGGACTTAATAGAAAATTCTCAATCCAATTAGGTTTCGCCAGAAATGAAGTTACTTTTTAAAATATTCACTTGTATAGTTTGCATTCCTGCGCATGACTCCTTCATCAGAAGCTATTTTAAGCAGTTTGACAATCCACACTGGAAAACAACATTTTCTTATGTTACAGTTACATGTAATGTCTTGATTGCAAAAAAAGTGGTCTTCGTTTCCCTCTTACTGTCGCAGAACTGGAAAAACGGGTTGTTACTTTATTTATTATTGAAGTACATTTATTTTACACCCCTCAAAGCCCATCCTGATCCTCTCATCTTTCACCCCCTCCATCATCAACCCCTTTGTGTCTCAATGCTCTCCTCTGTTGTGAAATGTTTTACTCACACTCAGATGATTGATTTTCACATGTTATTCATATTTTCTCTACTAGGAGCTCAAGTGAATCCATATCTGAATAAGGAATATGTCATCGTATCCTTTCAGTAATAGCAAGGATGGATCATAAATAAGGATGATATATATTATGATATATAGTACTCTGGAAGTGGAACATGTGGCGGCGGTTTCAATATAATATTCCGCAATGATAGAATGGAGATAATGATAAAATGGGATTCAGGATACTCAGTGACCGAACCCAAGGTGACCGACTCCCTGCATGGCTGTGCTGCTCTAACTGTGTGTGTGTGGCCTATAGGGGGCACGCTGAGATAACACTCCAGACCATAATGATTTGATTTACAGGTCTGGTAGCGATGGCAACGCTATGTGCTCCTCTGAGCGAGGGGATCGCTGAGAATGACACAAACGGTGAATGTCAACCGAAGTAAGATCCAATCAGACTAACAGCTGCCGCCGTGCTGACGAGGCGAGCGACAGGCAATCTGGTTAAAGTGATGTTTAATCTATGAACATGTGTCAAGCCACATAACACACACACAATCCCTCTGTTTGTGTCCTCTCATAACTTCAGCTCAACAACCCTCTGCCTGTGCGCACATGTTTTCTTGAATAATACCTTTATCCTGGTTTTTTATTCTCCTACGCTGTCAAAAATACCAGAGCCTTTTTTTTGTTATAGAGGCTTCAAAAAGTTCTCCGTTCTCTGCTTTGAGGAGCCAGGATACTCTGTAAAACTCATCCTTTCTGATTCACTGTTAGGGGTTGACATGCTGATGTAGAGGGCAGAATGAATGAAGTACAGAAATAAACACTGAGAAGGTGATCCTAAAAAGGGGATATTTAAATCGGGGGATTAACCGCTTTGTCACCAATCCTGTTTGTAATATACATGGATCGGATTTCGAGGCGTAGTCGTGGGGGAGGGGGTTTGCAGTTCGGTGGACTAAGGATTGCACCACTGCTTTTTGCAGATGATGTGGTTCTGATGGCTTCATCGGTCTGCGACCTTCAGCACTCACTGGATCGGTTCGCAACCGAGTGTGAAGCGGCTGGGATGAGGATCAGCACCTCCAAATCTGAGGCCATGGTTCTCAGCAGGAAACCGATGGACTGTCCACTCCAAGTAGGGAATGAGTCCTTACCCCAAGTGAAGGAGTTCAAGTATCTCGGGGTCTTGTTCTCGAGTGAGGGAACAATGGAGCGTGAGATGGGTCGGAGAATCGGAGCAGCGGGAGCGGTACTGCAGTCGCTTTACCGCACCGTTGTAACGAAAAGGGAGCTGAGCCAGAAGGCAAAGCTCTCTGTCTACCACGCCATTTTCGTTCCTACCCTCACCTACAGTATGGTCATGAAGGATGGGTCATGACCGAAAGAACGAGATCGCGGGTACAAGCGGCCGAGATGGGTTTTTCTCCGCAGGGTGGCTGGTGTCTCCCTTAGGGATAAGGTGAGAAGTTCGGTCATCCGGGAGGGACTCGGAGTTGAACCGCTCCTCCTTCGCGTCGAAAGGAGCCAGTTGAGGTGGTTGGGGCACCTAGTTAGGATGCCACCTGGGCGCCTCTAGGGAGGTGTTCCAGGCACGTCCAACTGGGAAGAGACCAAGGGGTAGACCTAGAACCAGGTTGAGGGATTATATCTCTTCGCTGGCCTGGGGGGCTCTCTGCTGGAACTGCTACCTCCGCGACCCGACCACGGATAAGCGGGAGAAGATGGATGGATGGATTAACCAAAATGACATTTTCATTCACGATTTTGTTTTCTTTGGTTGTCATGACAACAGGACATTAGAAATAAAGTATTATTGAGAGTGGAAGAATATACTTTCTCAAAATGTTGAGAATATGTTTCTCTAAACAAATTCTCTTATATCAGTAGCGTGGGGAAGTTCACTACAACTCAGGTGATCTTGTTTTTGAAATATGATTTATTTAAATGTAAATATATTTTCATATTATACATTTCATTCATTATCTACTTTAAATTAATTTAAAAAATAGAGCAATTAATTTAAAGTCTAGGTCAAAATTCAATGCAAAAACCGATTTTTTTTAAAGTGCAGTATATGCATTAAGTTTGCAAAGCCAATAAGTTATCACGTTAAATAATCATGGTCTTAATATTGAGCAAAATAACCATGATGAAGATTTTTGCCAAATGGCCAAGGAGCCCTTTTCAGAAGGCCCCCTCCAAATGCCTCCCCTGAAAAACACATTGTTATGATACTTAGAAAAAAGAGGTAAAGTGGACTCACCCCACAGACGTCTTCTTCATCTTGGCACAGAGCAGCAGATCGGTGAAGAGGAAGACGTGCCGAAGCTTCCTGGAGCTTTCTGATACTTCCACCAGGAAGCCATCCTTCACCAGCTGACGAGCCTACGAACACACCTCATGTCACTTTCTGTTGTCACTTTCTGTTGTCCCAACAACGCAAACACAGTAATGATAAGCAAGACATAACAGTGTTGACTTTTGGCAGCATCTGTTTAAAGAACAAATAAATATTGTGTTGTTTTTAAGGAGATCAAGGCATTTGTATCCAGTTGGATTGAACCTGCTAATTTCAAATGATGGTACATGGGTTTCTTCAAGGTGATAGAGAAATGTTCAGAACAAACACTGACTCCCAATCAGCTCTACATTCCCTTTGCAAACAAATATAATAGTTAAGTGTTTCCTAAAGGGCGGGCAATCGCACGTTAGTCTTTTCTTATTAAATGTTTGTTAGATATCAAAGGGATAGTCCATCAATTGTACACATTAAAAGTCTTTGTTAGTGTTACTGCATATTCTAAAATGTTAAACAAAGCCTTTTGGGACAAGAGAAAGCTATATATGTTAGAAAGGAAAAACAATAGACAAAATTGCTGACTTATATACACCTCTGTCAAATGAGGCATGTAAAGTCTATATTATAGTGTATTATCACTAGCTGCCTTTCCTTCATGCTGATTTTGCATGCACCAAATGACACAACACATAACTTCAAGTCAAACCCATTAAACAGGAAAAACAGGGAGTACTGGGGAATATTCCTGATACATGTATTATAGTAACAAAGCACAGTGTGTGGGCTTTCCCAATTTATTTATAGACAATTAAAAGGACAGTTCCAGGTAGTACTCCCAGATGAAAAGTGTATTCATTTACAAGTCATCACACACACCTCTCCTTTGGGCGTGGTAACGGCGGTCCTGCGGGGGTCGATCTCCTCGTTGATGGAGGAGAGGAAGTTCTGAGATATCCTCAGAGCGTCCTGCAGCAGCGGGAAGTCCGGGTGGTCCTTAGGAGTATGTTTCAGCAGGTCCTAAAACACACACACAAACACACAACTTTACTTTAGGTATAATTGTTTGTGTAATTTCTGCTTTAAAAATAAACGTGCTTTGCCTTATAATTTCCAAAAGTCTTATTCTAAAACTCTTTAAAAATCTATTTTCACTTCTTAACAAAAACCCATCCAAGCATGAGCAGAAGTTCGGAATGAATTTGATCTTCTTATTAAAAAAACGTAATTGCACTGCGCATAGTATAAATGCTGAGCGGATGCTGTGATAAACAACAAAAAGAAGGCTTTGATTTTTCAATATTGGAATCCTGTGTGTGTTTATGAGACAGACAGCTTGAGGATCAAATCCCCCCAAAAAACAAGCAACACAAGAAAACATATTTTATCACTTTACTTATTTTGTAATTACTTGAATCGTATTACCCTTAATGTCCAAACAATGTATTTATACAACATAATGTTGGAAGTTAAAAGAGGAAATCACGCTTTTGTTGAACTAGTAACATCCTATAGAAATGTTTTACTACTGGTTCATTTTCCCTTTGGTTTTTGTTTGACTTTGAGAATGATCCTTTAATGCAGAAGTGAACTGACTGTACTCACATGAAGGACCAGGGTGCTTCTGGTGACACGGTCGATCGGCTTGTAGAGGAGAGCTGTGGGGAGAGAAGGGGAGGGATCTGAGTCAGTGTCGCTCACATGCAGTCACACACTCTTTCACACGCAGTCACACACGCACACTCACACACACACACACACACACACACACACACACACACACACACACACACACACACACACACACACACACACACACACACACACTACGGAGTTAAACACTGCACCTATGGTTCCACTGATGACACGATATGATTGATGATTTACTACAAAAGTGTTGCAATATGAAAGATCGGTCATAGTCTCGACTTCGAATTGACAGAACTTTCACTCAGTGGTCTGTCTCAGACCAGAAAGATTCAGGAGGATATAAACCTTAACAGTAGGCAATCACTTTCTGAACATTGTCTAATTTATTTGTTAACATCATTACTGTGCTTACAAGTCAAATGTCTTGCTTTGATCTAATCATTTCTAATTTAAGCTGTCCCCCTTCCACACCCTCCTTTATACCCACTCCAAGAAATGAAGCGCAAGAGACAAGATAAGAAACTGTCGCTGCCTATAAATACATGTCAACATTTAAAATCCGCCGACTTAAACCAAATAGATTTAACCTTCAAAACAATGTTCAATAGAACACACACAACAGTATTGAAATTATGCAATGCTGACTAAGGTGGCTGGGATCACGTCAAACTTGAAAAAGAATCATACAGAAAGGCAGTCCATCTTCGGGGTTCACGCTGCAATTGGTTCTGACACCATGACACAATTCCATCAGATTAATGATAAAAACCTAGAGGACATACTACAACTTCTGAAATCCTCCTCCTGCTGCCATGATATTATTAAACAGGGTTTCTCAAAAAAGTTTTTACTTGCATGGCCTCAGATCTAATTCATATAAGGCGCGTTCACACCAAGTACTTTTCCCACAATAGTTCATGAGAACTCAGTTCATGAGAACTCTTTTAGTTCTGATGAACTAAAGCAGATCATAAACAAGTCTCTTCACTCAGGTGTTTTTCCACAGGCCCTGAAAACTGCAGTCATTAAACCACTCTTAAAAAAGAATAATCTAGTAATTCTCAGTAATGAACAATTACATGCCAATATCAAACCTGCCATTTCTAGCTAAAATCATTGAAAAAGTTGTTTTTCAACAGTTGAGTAATTTCTTGCATTTAAATAACTGTTTCGATGTGTTCCAGTCAGGCTTTCTTCCAAACCACAGCACTGAGACTGCTCTTGTAAAGGTCTNGCTTTCAACTAAATACACAGCCACGCAAAAACTGCGGCATTTGTACAGCTCCTTATGGGTACTGCAATTTGTGAAGTGCTTTCCTCCGTGGTGAAACGATCAGCACTGCACCACGGAGGAAAGCGGCAGAATGTCACCTGGAGATAAAGAGAGCGGGGCTGCGTTGCGTGCATGGCTTCCTTCTGCAGGTAACGGGGAGACGCACTCTGGCGGCGGTCTCGTTCAGGATCCGAAAATACAATTTAAATATTTTTGCACACTTATTCCACTTATTCCTAGTGTGCCACTGCTGGCACGCGTGCCAGGGGTTGCCGACCCCTGGTCTACACTTTAGAGTAAATGATTCATGCAGGTCAGCGGCGTCCTGTGAGCTTTCACTCTCTTCATCTCTGGAACTGGGTCACACTGTGCAGATGTAACACAGGCTTATACCAGTCAAACAGAGAGAAATGCGTCATCCATCCCTCAGACTTAACTCTTTACCTCTAACACTAACACTAATCTCCCTTACCTACTTACTCAAAATATTCATTATTTATATGAAGGAATGTGTTGTTTGCGCCCCCCGAAAAATATTAATCAGATAAAGACTTGTCAACAACATCGATCAACAAGAACGACAATAATCCTTATCCACAAGTTCAAATTCACAGTTAACAAACCAGGCTTTATTGTCTTTATATAATTGAACACTCTAAAACATAACAAATACTCTAAAACCATAAGAGCTTGTATTGTGTTAAATACTTTTTTTACGCAACCTAGAATCAAACTTGAGAATTTGTTCTTCTTTTTATTTATTTCTATTTACAATTATGTCTTGTGATCTTGTAAGATGACTTCAGAGAGATTAATCGAGGACCCATCTCACATATAACCTTTGACTATTTACACAGACTGAACTGATGCTGCGACTGAAAACATTGTCTGTGCAGATGAATTAAAAAACATACAGCAAACAGTGAGGGCTAAGAAAAACATGAATGCTGCACTGATGGCTTCCTCTGCTGTGGAAAGACTTCCTCTCACAATCTGCTCCATGTGTCTGAGGAAAACTGAGACATAGACACTCTAGATTTTTAGAGGGTGTAGTTCTTTATCAATAATTACATCTAAACTAACTTTATTTGAGTCATGGTTGTTAAAGCCAAATTGAATTGTATTGTATATTGCCAGGGATGGCTGGATCAGTAAGTGACAATGTTTTTTTCAAGCTTGGATAACAAATCCACTCTGAGCCAGCTTACTACACATTTTAATTGTGACTCTTTATGTGGAAGTGACTGAAATTAAAATCAAATCGAATCAGAAATGAATAATTGTTACGAAAGAAAGTAAAATTAGTTAAAAGGGGAGCAATTCACATAACAATTAGCCATTACAAGTAATTAGGTGTAAGACCATGAATCACAATAAGGAGAAAATTACCTCATTGTTTTTTGTTTGAGGAAGGAGGTCGGTTACTGCTCCACTGTTTGCTCTTGCATCACTCTGCTCCTCCACCTATTTTCCTGCTTTGTTTCCTCTTGCTCAGTTTTTCTTTCCAGTTCTCAGTCCGCACCTGCATCCAAATGCACTGAACATACTCACACATATTCTTAGGTGAAAGGAACAAAATAGAAACAGAAAAAGGTTTTCCGTTGCTCATTCTACCACAAAGTGAATTTAAAGGCTTTCAATCTCCTTTTTATATCCTTTGTTTTTCCACCCACTTTCTGTCTGAGAGGACACACACACACACACACACACACACACACACACACACACACACACACACACACACACACACACACACACACACACACACACACACACACACACACACACACACTCTACTCCAATTCTCATGCCGACCACATCCCACAACAGATTCCTCTCTTTTCTCCCCCCTAGCTCTCCATCACCCCTTTTGTTCCAAAGTGCTTAATAAGTGATTAAGCGGTTAATCTGAGGAAGATGCCCCCCCTCCCCCTGATGGATCAGATGAAAGAGAAGCAGGAATAATCTGCACAGCACCCTAAGGCTGCTATTTCCCACCCTGCCAAAACCCCTCCCGCCTCTGCACTCTCATTTTAGCACTCCCACTGTACCCTCAAGGACCATCCTTCGAAAACGCCCTTCACACACGCCCACACCCCCCCACACTAACACACCTCCTATTTTACCCTATTTTCCCTTACCCTTGACTGAGCTCCAGTGAACGCAGCACGAGAGATCAAAGAGGTGGAGTGGGTCACCCAGTTAACATACTTATTTGAGTCAAATCAGATTGAATTATTCGCTCGCAACGCAGCTATCAGAGTCTCCCCCCCCCATCATGTCAGCCACATGACGCACATAATGAAAATACAGCACTCTGTTATTTTTTGATGAGTAAGTCAGATAAGCCTTGAGCTGCGTTCCCTTTCTTTTTGATTTCATCATTTTTTTGATATCCAAGTCCCAAATGATCACCTTTGTTCCTCCGTTAGCTGCTTCACTGGGAGATACAGTAATATTGATATAATATGAATGAACACACACACTTTCAGAGTTAGGGCCGCAGTTTAAAACCAACATGAACAGAAAGTTAATGTTAATCATGTTTGTGCATGTGCAGTAGGTTGTAAAATCAACAACAAAACTCTACGTAATCACCATTATAAAAAATCCACAGTTGCCATTAGGGCAATAGGCAACTCTACTAGCTTTGATTAAAAGGTTCCTAAAGATTGACTATATTTGAGACTGAGAGCATAAAATAAATTATTGCTACCGCTCTATTGTCCTTGCTTCAACCACAGAGTTGGAGCCATGTGGATGAGAGCTTTTAAATGTACCTTAGATAAACATTTGAGCTTTTATTTTTTCAAGAAGTTACATTCTAAAACTCTTTCTCTCCGTGTCCTCTGGATACCCATTTAAATATTATTGTAAACATTCTCCACAATGTCAAAATCTTCCTATAACAATCTAATATTCCAGCAATACTGTATATATATACATTGTATTCAGGTCATGCAGGGCAGGGCAGAACATGCAGACCCCAGCTGGGATCTGGATCTGAGCCCAGAACCTGCTCGCTGTGAGGAGAGCCCCTGCACAGCTTCCTATTGGAACATCTGTAGTCGCAGTTCTTGTTAATGTCTAATATTCAGAATAACTCAGGATGGAATTACTGGCTAAATTGCTTTTGAAGTAAAAAAAACTCTGTGCACTGCTTAACCTCACACACAACAGTGAAGGTCAACTGAAGAACATTTACAGGCAGATGTTTCCCAGGATGTCCACAGTGAAGACAATGGGGCGTGTTACATGACGAATGCTCTTAAACACCAGACAGACTGCAGAGTCAGGACCTTCCCGTGTATATCAGCCAGGCATGGACTTGGAGCTGCTCCATATTCATGTCCGGCTCTTCAAGGTTCTCTGTGATTGGCAGAGTAGCGTTAAAGCATGCAGGAGGAGGCCAGAGAATCGCAGAATCAACAGAATCATGCTGCCTGTCAGGGCCGCAATCCAAGGTGGAGTTTGGAGTAGAAATCAGGACCTAGTTTTCCCCTCCCCCTCCTCTCTGGTCATATGGCGTGGCTGTGCGAGGGGCCGCGCCGCCCAGCACATCTATAATTAAGAGTGAGGATGATGCCTTGATATCGAGGCATAGGCACTCATAGTAACCATCGGCATCCTCACCTTTTTAATGTCGGTTTTATCTCAACCTACACAACCAACACAATAGGAATTTAACAAATTGTCCTTCTTTTTTACACCTGGTGCGGCTGTCCTCGGATCATATTTCAACGATGTTTGTTTTAATATAAGATTCATAAAATAAGAATTGGGGAGTTGGTGTGACCCACGGATTTAAAAAACCATTTAAACGCACTAAGCTATTTAACATAATCACCAGTAAAAGACCAAACAAGCTAACCGCCACACTCTCAGCTGATCACTGAAGTGTGAGTGTTCTATCTGCACCAAACTCGGCACCACAAAACATCTCCAGGGTTACCAATTTTACTAATTACTCTTTTCATTTTCTTTCCTGTAGTCCGACTCCCACAAGAACCTTTAATCTTATCTCCCTAATGGACTCCCTACTTCTCTCCTACTCGCATCTTTCCTACTTTATTTGATCATTCCCATGTCTCCCAAGGCCCCACACAGTTCATCCTTTCATACTGTTAATATACTTTAACAGAACATTTGTATCTATGCAGGGGCCTTACTCTGTTCTTCTTACGCACAGTAAAACCCTGCAGAGCTGAAATGGTTTGCCTCCAACGAGTTCCAGAAAAATATTATCCCCGCACATCGCTATCCTGTTATTGTTTTTGCATTTAAGTCACGTATGGAGTAGATATGGGTTTTGGCATACTGTGTGCTGCCTGTGCAGAACGCTGGGATAGCTTTATTGCGTGTGGAGTCAGTGTGAGCTCACAGTTCTCTGGGTTAACATGTCTGCATGTACAGTTGGCATGTTCTAAATGCCATGAATAGTGCATGAGCTTATACTAGACAGAGTGTAGCAGGGGATGTATGAATGTACAGAGCGTGTTTGTGTTCTTCCGGCTGGAAAAGTGCATACGTGCATGGTTTTTCTGATGTGATGTGTTGTGAAGTGATGGACTCCGGTTGACCCGTTACTATAGACGCCCGAACGCTGCTTCTACTCTGAAGACGAACTGTGCTCTGTGCGTGACGGTGTGTGTATAGACAAGCTTCTTACCTGGTCAAGCAAAACCATCAATTAGCCCTGTCGCATGACCTACTTTTTTTCCGGGTAACTGTCCCAGAAATACTTGCAATGCAATTATATTTTTGTAATTTTAAAACCATTTTATGCCACTGATATAATACAATTAACCCTATTCAATTAGCAATTAACTAATAATTGTGACTATTTAAACATCTGAATTTGAGTGGGAAATGATATACAAAGAAAAATTAAAGAAAAATATTCTAAAATTAAAACTAATTAAACAAAAAAACTCAACCAAAGTAATAATACAAATGTGGCACAGGGGAGAGCTGCTTTCATATCTTATAATGGTCGGGGAAACACTGCTGTTTATTTGGACATATTGTTACAGTAGCTAAAATGTTGGTGATATTCTTTTGTAAATATACACTTATGTGAACAGAATGTGCAATATCATTTTCAGACTAAATTATCCAAGTCATGTCCATATATTGCACAATTAATCAACAACGTGAAAACAATTATGTTAATATATCTTACATATAATAATGTGAGTTTTAGGATCCTGTGTTTTTGGAACTTTCTACTAAATTGAGATATATTGGCCACTGCTGCTTATTTTGTGTCGCTCTGAAGAAGTTCAATAGTACATTTTTCCACCTTCTCTTTAAGGGAAATGTGGCTTTCACACGTCTCCGCACTGGAAAGCTTACATTATTGCACAGTTCTCCTTATCTTTGCTCTTTGATGCATGTGTTCACCGCATAGAACAAAATGTATATAACTGCTAACATATACGCACTTTAAATACACCCATCCATTACTGTGTTCCCTTTCTCTGTCATCTTACCCAAAATATCTCCTGTCTCCCCTTGGGTTTTTTCCCCCTTCCCATTTCCAAAACACGGTTTTCCCAGACATTCTTCTAAAGTTGTGACGCATGGACAGTGTACGTCTCATAGTTACGAACCCTTGGAGTTAAAAATACTCTGTGGCAAGGGTTGGCTGAGGTCTCTCCCCCCCCCTCATTGTCAGTCACAAAGTCAGACATACAGGCTGTCCTTCACCACAGATCACACACTGTTCTTACCGCGTGGCATCACACTGTCTCCTGCCATCTGACGCCGCCTTGTGAAGACACAATGAAAGGGCTACAACGTATCGATTCATTTCTTTATTGTTTTACCAATTTATTCTTTGGAAGGTATTTAAAAAAAGTCCATGTTTAAGCCTTTACATTTCTTGTTTTTAGTCAAGAACTCAAAGATATTAATGTCATATTATATAAAACTGAGAAAAACAGGAAACCTCCCTATTTAAGAGGCTGAAATCAGCCTTTTCTGCCATTTCTACATGATTATCCAAAACGTTAGCTATCATTTTCCTGTTGATAGACTAATCTTTGCAGCTTTTCAAATCACTCGCTCAACACAGCCATAGAATGAACCTCTCTCACACTTTTTTCTGCTAGTATCTGCTGTTTTAGAGGGAATATAGAGCAGACTAATCATTAAATGCTTAAATCGACAGTACCAATAATCAATATCATTTGTGTAAGTATCGACTAACGGTTTTCTCTGGAACTTACTTTTGATTAAATCAATAGCTGAAGTTGGCACAGTTAGCAGATTTGTTTCAGTGTACATAGTTAAGCATCTCACTTGCTGCCCTAGTAAACACAGCTGTGTCTCACCATATGAGTACATCGAGGAAATTGTGCTTCTTTCTTCTTATCTGATTCCCTTTATGAATCAGTGTTCAATCAGCAGACGTCATCCTGAAACAGACGGAATCACAGCTAGCATTCAGGAGTCTGTCTTACACGTCTGGAGGTTTTTAAAATGCCTCCACATGTCTGTGACCTTTCCCCAGCACAATACTTCTCCCCTTTAATTAAAAAAAGATGGGACATGGCGGATGGAGATGGAATTTGACAGGCGTACACAGACTCCCCTGCCCCACATTGATCCATTATACAGAGGAACACGCCTTTTAAGAGCTGCCGGCTCCGGGGTGCCCTGTTGAATAAAGATGGTGACTCTCAGGATGTTAAAGGGATTGTGCAGCAGACATCAGAAGTGTAGGAGCGTGGTGCACAGAGAAGTGGAGGAAATGGGTGGAAAGAGGAGGAAGAAAATGGAGCTCTGACATCTGACAATGGAAAAGCTTTTAAAGCCTCAAAGTTTTCCAGTTTTTTCAGACGTTTTATCCACAAATATTTCACTTAAAAGTTTCTCATCATTACATTCCTCTGTTTATTCAGCAGCACACTGACCAGCTCTGGGAAAGGTTGTCAAGAGGTGAGAGCACTGAACAAAACACAGTGCAGCATTTACGTAGCAGCTCCCTACCTCCCTCCCTTCTACATTCCCCCTTTCACTCTCTCCTCTACTTCCCTCGGTTCTTATTGAAGGTCTATTGCTCCCTCCTCCTCTCTTCGGAGGTGTGTCCATCAACATCTGGAGAAGCAGGGCTGCTCAGTGACAACAGGAGCTCATTCACTCCCCCGATCTCCCCCCTCTCTCTCTCTCTCTCTCTCTGCCTGGCTCCGGCGCTCTGTTTCTGTGTTTGCCGTTGTGGAAGTCAGATTGCACAGTGCGGAGATGTTGGCAGCTGACTGTGGAATAAGCTCACAGAGGAATTATTATCAGGCTAGTCAAGAGGACCATGGCAGCATCTTCTCCTCACTTTTATAACTCTTTCCTTTTTTGATCTGAATATCTGATCAGCTGTTGGAGACATTTCATTCTTTTTGCCAAAGTCAAAGGCTGCTTTGGGATCCATCTCCTTGTTGAAAGCATTCTCCCTCCACCTGCGTTTTGGTGGAAGACGAATTTGAAGGCTTTGGGATGACGGAGATTTTGGTGTCGGATGTAAACTTGAACTCGGTGTGTGAGCGTCTGGAGAAGCACTGCTGTGTGGACCAGAACCAGCACAACCTGTCCAGCCAGCCACAGACCCCGGTGCTTAAGAGGCACAGCAACACCGGGGCCAAGCTGTGGGGCCGCGTCCGCAGCAAGCTGCTCAGACAAAAGGTCTGGCTGACATATGAACACACACACACACACACACACACACACACACACACACACACACACACACACACACACTCACACTCACACTCACACTCACACTCACACTCTCTCTCTCTCTTTCACGCACACACACACACACACACACACACACACACACACACACACACACACACACACACACACACACACACACACACACACACGCACGTCACTCACATGCTCCCACAAGCTGTGTTTCCTCTCTTTTATCATTTGTTCTCTTTTATGTATCACTGTGTCACTTCCATCTGTTTGCTTGGCCTCTCCTTTACTGTATGCTCAGTGTTTCTCTCTCCATGTGCGTCTTCTTTTCAAAGCAGAGTTGACTATTGTTCTTATCTGATGCCTCTATTGACCACATGAGAGGCAGTGATGTAGTGCTAAGTAGAAAAGGCGTCTTAACTGACCTGCTTGTGACACCAGCCTGAGTAAACACGAGTAAATAATACAAAATCATTTCTGCTTGTTTTCTCTCCTTTGAATGATTGTGTTCTCAAAATGCTCCAATCCATTTGATGCCACATACGGTAAAGAAGTGCTGCAGCAATTAGTATCGGAGAGAACAATAATCAGCAACTACTTTGATAACCAATTAAGTCATTTTCCATGCAAAAAATAACCATCAAATGTAAGGATTTCATGCCTTTCTCTCTTTCATTAATTAAACTGGGGTTTGAACTGACAAAAAATGTATATATTTGAAGAAATCACATTATACCATTATACCGTAAATAAAATAACAGGCAGATTCATTGACTATAAAAATAATTGTTAGTTTCACCCCCATTTGTTGCTAAACCTTCGGCTTTGAAAAGTGGCTCCACAAGAAATTGTTTCCAGATATTAACTTGTTGATTGATTTTGTATCAATTTATACAACATAGCAACTAGACTAGGAAGCCTTATTATATTACATAACTGGATACTATGATGTTCAATTACCAAAAGGTGAGATTCACCATCAAAAGTAAATACTGCTGTGATGGACAAGACGGTCTGTTTCTCACCAATGTCACCTCTTCTCCATTTCTATCTGTGACAATCTTTTATTTCTCATTTAAATGAATGAATCATGTATATATGGTATCTCCATCTCAACTATGATGCTTTTGAGATTTCAGTATCCGTTTAGCTCCCCCTGCTGTTCATGTTTAGCATTGTCCTCTGGCTGAGATGATGTGATAGGCCAGCCCTTTGGCAGATTCCACTCATTAATCAAATCATCTCTGAAACATGCGTCTATAATATGTATGTGTCAGTACAATCAGCATTGCAAGGGTGACATTTGAAAGTACGTAGCTTATTATGGACTTTTTGTCTTCATTATTGTAAGTCCCACAAACTATTGTCATTTTATTGTGTTTTGATATTTTAAGCATAGTTCCTATTTTTGATCTCTTGTTATTCAAAGGTGGTCGGTTAAGATAATGTAAGCAAGTAAGAGAGACATGTTTGTGTTCCCTAATTTCCTTGAAATGTAGATCATAATAAGATGGAAAATGTGTCCTATTATAGGATTGTGGTTCATTCAGGGAGGGCAATTGTTGACAATTTAGCTCAAGCATTCAGGTTGGAATGAAAGACCCTTGAATTGAGGGAATCTGCGGGAACACACAACGCGGGTGCACACACACACACACACACACACACACACACACACACACACACACACACACACACACACACACACACACAGGCCTGGTATGGCATAGTTTAAATGCAGGTTGTGGATTGTGACTCATGTGTTGCTGCAGGAAAAGGGCTTCTTTCTTTTCCCTTTTTTCTCCTCCAGATGCTTTTTGAATCCGTATGATAGAGGAGAAGCATGTGAGCCAGTTCTTGTTCTATGCATAGCTCTGCACACACTGAGTCATTTTTGTATCACTGTGTTTGCACATGTTTATTCAGCAGTCTTCCTTTTCATCATGAACGCACTGCCAGCATTTTAAGATGTCATTTGTGTGCATAATAAACCGGTGTAGGACAAAGAAGTTGAGATTTAGCTTGACCTTTGCTTCCCTGGTTTACATTATTCAACAGATGCCTGAAGAAGGCTGACCACTGTTTATAGTGAGCGGGATGAGACAGGGATTACAGACTAAGCCCAGATTTACTGCATCGACCCAAAAGGTCCTGTATGGATTGATTCTCTTCCTCGCTGAGAAAGCCTCCATGTCTTAATGCCACATAACGAGCTTTTCAATGGTGTCTAGATTTTGCAACTTTGCCTTTAGTTGAATCAACACTTGCCCTCCAGCTATTAACCTGCTCCCCCCAAACTGCTATACAAGGTCCCTTTCATCCTTTCATTCACTTTCAATGAGGCTTTGACTGGCAGCCCTTATGAGTGACTCATGTTGTCGTTTCTCTGGATCCTATCAGCTGATCTACAATTCTCCCCTTTTCCCCTCCCTCCTCTACTTGGTAGTAAACTCTATTTGATGGAGGGTGAGAGGTCATAATGTTGAATGATCTATCACCATCATGTGAAGCGGTAACATGACAGGCTGCCTGTGGGTCCTTGAAGCAATGTATCAATACAGGACAGGGTTAATGCAGTGCTTTTCATTTATTTGAATCCAAACAGTTGGACATTTGAATTTCCCCCAGGAGCTGGTGGATTGGTTTTGTTGGTTGGTTTCTTTGTCTGCCAGCAACCTGGATCACAGAAAAATAACTGGCAAAACGTGGTGCAGTGGTTTAGATTTGGCCAACCAAGAAACATGTCAATGTTAAAGCCAAACATGAGTTTCTTGTTTGTTTTAATTTTCTCTTTTAGATTCCAAAATGTGTCTTTCCATTGTCCCTAAAATCTATATAGTTTTAATTTACAACAAAATGCTCATACTCATTATGAATATAAAGTGACTTCCTTTCTTTTGATGTTATCATTGAAGGGGGTGGAGAAAGCAGACTTTAGGGCACATTGCTTCTTTGTTGTTGCGTCGTGTTATTCACAGGGTGTTGGGAAGGTGCATTAGTGTACGGTTGACACTGGGGACTCGTCCTCGCTCCTTTATCCTGAAGCGCCACCTAATTAAGACGTGGTGGGACGAGGCGGGAGGCTGGCTGGGAACATTAATTAGACTAGAACCAGACACATCATAAGTGTCTCAGCAAAAGAACAAATGGTGATTAAGCCGCTACTCACCTGTAGTCTGGGTTTTTCCCGCTGTGCATTAAACACTGTGTTCTTTTGGCTGATGACCTGTTTGCAGACAGGTTTGCTTTTATTTTCTTTGAGTAACAGCCTGCTTAGTGTGGAGAACAAAGGATCTGTCATGCTGTCTTAGCCATGGAGGAGAATCCGATCCATTATCACACGCCGTCATTCCACCTTTAACTGCATTCAAGCCCTGATAAAAAATGATGCTCTTCCGTTTTAGTATGTTGATTAGTGCAGAATAGATTCAAGTATCATCCCTCCTGCATGCCTGAAATGCCAGCCAGTCCCCTAATGGTCTTTTTTATAGGCCACATAAATCTCTGTCTGTCCCCACCTGAGGGCATAGCCTTCTAGTGGCCCCAATCCATCCCTGTGTGCGGGCTCTGGGATTGGCTAATGAGCTCCAGGAGAGGAGCGCCAGGTCAGTGCAGCGCTCTGAGGTTGGACCCACAGTGACCTCCTCCTCGTGGAGTCCAGCTTCTTCGCTCCTGGCCGAATGGAGGGTGGCTTTATTCTCAGCAGGGTGACAGCAAGGCATTCATCTTCTAATAATTAGGCGGTGCGAGTGAGGAGGTGTGGGATTCTGGTATCCTATCACATGCTGGTCCGGGTAAAGACAGAAAGGTTTTAGGGCTAACTGTTCTGCTTGAAGATGAGGATCCAGGCTTGAGACGTAAATGTAAGCAATTTGTAACATATATCTCAATGTTATCTACTAGACTAGACAATCAACATGGAAATAATAACTAACTATTTTGTAAATCCATAATTTGTGTAGGAGTCGTTTTTTCCGGAAAAAATTGTAGAAACTGCTGTTTTCAGTTTCTGAAAAAAATAAGATGTCCTGTTTTCTCTATTGATTATCATATTAAAGGAAATATATTTAGGTTTTAGACTGACATTTTATAAACTAAGCCATCAATGGACTAATCATGAAATATTTGACAGATTAATCGATTGAGAAAAGAATAGTTTGTTTGAACCCTTTTCTGGTATTGAAAGACAACCTGTTTGAGGCTCGTTTTGCTGGTTTTATTCTTAGATGTTGGTTTTTAGCAGTTGACCTACCGTGGAAGAAGTTGCATTGCTCATGAGAGCCTTCAAAGTTAGTAACCCAAACTCTCTCCTCTCTTGCTGAAAAAGCTGGTTGATGTTACATGAGAGCTGAAGTGAGGCCCCTCTGATTCTTTTACTGGCACATGCTTCAAGACACATTTCACTTCCTTGTTATTTTCTCCTCTCTGTAATGTAAGTCTGATCCTATGGCATACAAATGGTGCATTCTGTTAGCGTTGAAGGTCACACATAACTTCAGCAAGGACTATTCAATGTCCCAGAAGGCAGAGGAGTGACACAAATGTGACTTAGATCTGGTTCTCTTGATAGCATATATGTATTTTTTTGTTTAAATCAGAAATGTGGTGGTTTGTCTGTATGATAGCAAATCTAGCAGTGTTTTCATCTGTGACTTCACCATGTAGGTTTTATGGTCAAAATGAAGGGAAGCAGCAGGAAGAGTGTTCCTGAATCTTGTTTTATGTATTTTTGTATTTGCATAAAACATAACTATCCATATTTAGGCTGATATCCCTCTTTTCTTACTAAATTCAAACTGAACATCCAACAAAAAAGCAACAACTATGAAATTAAATTCATTCATCTAATGAAACCTTATTGAATAGCTCTTGCTATTTCACCCTTCTTTTTTATTCTAAGTGTGGGATAACTCGTGAGTGTGTGTGCAGGCTGCAGGCAGGGTGGTGTTACATAAGTGTAGTATGCATCTGTGTATTGCTATTTAGAAGCCCTATAAGAGAATCACACACTGCCTGCAGAGAAGCAAGACTAATCTGCAAATCACAACCCTCTGCTGGCTGAAAACCCCACCGATTGGCTCAAACAAGGAAGAGAGGGACAAAGGCAACATGGCAACCGACCCATCAAGGCCGTAATGACATCAGCTGCTGCTGGGTAAAGAGGCTAACACTGATGCACATATAAACATTATGCCTATGTAGCTCATTTGTCTAAAAATAGTCATGCAGCTTGTACTCTGAATACAGAGTACTGTAGCGTGATGTGTAACTGGGGGGAAAGGGCTCAATCAGTGCACAAACACTTCTGTAATCCTGCTGAAAAACCACGGAGCCGTGCAGTGTGAGATATGTTCTAATTAAAGGAGTAATAAAGAGCTTTCTGCAGCTGAATGAATATTTAATCAGCCAGAGAGCGGCAATGGAAAATTGCGATGAAACACAAAGGACAAATTAAACAGAAATTCTTCAATTCACCATATCAAAAGATCAAGTTGTGTTTGATTATGGTTGCCAGCGTGCACTAGCTCTCGAGCACAGCGAGAATGGGCTGATTAGGGTGTGTTGGGATTTTCTCATTAAAGGCTTTAAACACCACTTCATTAACTGACTGTTTGGCACCATTGCCTTTATAGCTTCAGAACACACCAACTTATATTAGTTTTTTGTGTTAGATCTACATAATTAGCAGAAGTTTGTAAAGAAATTCATATTAATACGTGTGAAGGACAAACAAGAATGCAAACCAGGCACTAAAGACAACCTGATTAAATCTGAGTAACATACAATAACAAAGGCGGGGGAGGCTCAGTCTGTAGGGACTTGGCTTGGGAACCTTGGGAGAATAGCCGGTTCAAGTCCTGATCAGCCCAAAAGTAGGGAGTGAGTACTTGGAGAGGTCCCAGTTCACATCCGTGAGCACTGCCGTGGTGCCCTTAAGCAAGGCACCCGACCCCCCCACTGTTCCCCGGGCAGGTGTACAATAGCTGCCCACTGCTCCTAATACTAGGATGGGTTAAATGCAGAGGTCAAATGTGTGTGCTCTGCTGTGTACATGTACGTGTGTGTACAAATAAAGAGAGTATCATTACTATCCTCCGTTTCCGTAAAAAAATCGAACTCGCAAAAAGATCACATCGAAATTAAGACATTTACATGCATGATTTATAGTAGGAAGTTTACTGTATAGTCCGACAAATCAATCCCAGTTGTAACAAGCAGAATTCCCAACGTTAATGAAAACATGTTTTGTGAATATGTTTTAGGTGTGCGTTTCCTGTCAGTAGAGAATGTATTCTGATAACAATCGGAGTGCCCCAGGTTCGGACATGTTAATGTCAGACCTCATGGTGTTCAGAGATTCAGATGGCCACTTGGACATATTGTACATAGACTTCTCTGACATATGAGGACCCTGCATATGTATGTTATTCTGTTGCTGTAAAGCTGCATGTGCTGAACATACGTCTCCAAAGCCTCCTGTGTGTTTGTTGAAATGTAAACAGCTCCAGAGGGGGTTAGGGTTAGGTCCCTCTGCGTCAGTCTGTTGCTCAGTCTCAGGCAGGCAGCAGGACTATGGCTCACATGTCACATGTCACATGCCGCTGAAAGGGCAGGATTATGTGTCCGGAGAGGGGGGGGAGGGTCTGCCAGCCAGTTCTCGTAGTGTAGTTCGCCTCACACGCGAAAGGTCCCCGGTTCGAGACCGGGCGAGAACATCATTTTTGTATCAACACAACCATTTGTTAAGTTTCTCATACATTTCCAATCAAATGTTGTCATTGGCAGTGAGTAAACAATGTTATTCTTTCTGTATGCAATGATTCAATGGTTTATAAAAGAGCCAAACTGATCACTAGTTACCATATCTGTGACAAGCATATTACCTTTATCAGAATAAGCAAGGCATTAACCCTTCCAAAGATATTCTTTAATGTATCTATTTTCATGGCATATTCATTGTGACCGTAGTCAAGCCTTCGATTTCTTTAGTTATCCAATTTGTCCAACGCTTTCAAACAATAGACGCTCTATAGATCATTATGAAGAGAGCTGAAGTGACTTCCTGTTCTCCTGCTCGTCTTTCAGAAAGACAGCATGTGGAAGCTGAGCGCCATAACTTATCTGCTTTGTTCTGCCCTCTAGATCAGTCAGGGGGCAGGCTGATGTACTTCCTGGCTCTCTGTGCTGCTTCAATTGAAGTTCAAACTCTGGTTGTGATATATTCTGTCCTGCTTGACTGATAGAAATTACAACCAGACAAAGAAAAAGATAATAATATAAATTCTCTCCGGGGTGAAAGGAGGTCCATATCAGCCGACAGCCACATGCCTGCTGATGCCTTCGGAGTGAGCTGCTTAGAGTGCCCATATAAGTTAATTGCTCTGTCTTTCAAACACATTTTCTTTTTTGCACCACTTCACTCATTTAGTCCAACGTATACTGAATTACTTGGATTTGACGTTTGGACGCCAGGGGTGCGTCTTCATCAGTCAAAGGAAACACATTTATTTCATTTTATGTGAGGAAAAAGCTTTTAAGTTTGCACACTAACTGGAATGCGTACAAATCTGTGTGTACAACGGTTTGTTAAACTTGAAGTATTTCTGTGATTTGCTCCGGGCTGCAGTATGTTCTAGACTCACAGTCATATATCTCTGATAGTTTCACAGCACTACAAAGAGGGCTTTGAGCCAGTCTAGCTATAGGACTTCTCCAAAAAAAAATATCACAAGACATGTTTTGACCTTTATCGAAGTTGCTCATATGTTCAAAATCCCCTTCAAGCTTTTTTTGAGTGAGATGAAAGGGACCTAAAGCTATACCAGGTTGCTTTTTGCAGGTTCTTGAAAGTTTGAAGCCTTTCTAGCGTGCATTACCTTTACTGCACTCCATGCTCTGATACCTGCTGTTCTTTTCCTGCCAGTCCTCTGGCTCAGCTGTCAATCAGGATAAAACCTTAAAACCTCCTGCCACTTTGATTAAACCAGCCAACTGGACACAATCCCGATAAGTCCCAATTCGTTACCGAAAAAGCAGTCTCTTGTTATGCAGTATTTTGTTCCTTATTCTGACTGTAATATTTAGTATAAACTAATTCAGTTTGAGTTTTGTAGAGGACTCTTCAGCCAAACTGTCATTCTGTTAAACCAGCTGATTTACTAGGAAAGCAAAAGGGGGGAAACAAATTCCTCTCTAAGTATCTTTTAATAGAAAAAGGTCCAGTTGAGGATAGAGTTTCGAGAGGGGTCAATGAGTGTAACTATTGCCTGTAAAGGGCCTTCTTTATTTTTAAAACCCCAATGCAGTGCATTCATTTTTTATTTCAAGAATTAGCAGAGGGTAATACTGTAGGAAGAAATGGTTGGGAGGTAATATGTTTTGTTTTGGAGGGGTGAGTAGTGAGTCCTGGCTCTTTGCCCGCCTCTCTTCTTGGCAGTGGCTGTGTAAAGACAGCAGTGATTACCTGTCCCTCGTCTCAAACCCAAGCCCTGCTGGGAAAACAGGCTTTAACGATAATAGGAATGCGTGAAACCGATGCCAAATGGCCTTTTTATGAGGTAATGAAATACTCTCACTAAGAACTTGTAATGGTTGCAGCCTAATGCTAACAATAAGAGAAGTGTGCTGCCCTCGTGCTCACCCAGCAATCTTTAGTTCCTCTGAGTTGAGCACATTATTATGCATGGTTTGTAATGACATAACTGTGTAGAGCAAACAGCCTATAAAAAAGGCATTAGCTGCTGTGGCCTCCCGCAGCGAGCACACACTCCAGGAGACTTAAATCAACAACAAGCCGCCGTCTATCATGTCTCAGAAGGCATTATGGGACGTGACGTGAGATCCAGACTTTGGAATGTGCGGGTGAAGAGGGCCAATGTAGAGTCCTTGTTGGACCCCTGAGGGAGTGCAGAGGGTATATGTGGGGAACTTAAGTGGCGTGGTTCTTTCCCAAAGCAGACTGACTGACTGCTGTTGTCACCGGCCACACCGACATTTCAAACATGGAGCAGCGCAAAAGTGAACTCTGTACTCAGTGCGTTTTAATAACAGTTTCAAATATCTCCTGCTCACCTTTAGACTTTGCCGGGTGCCTTTCTTGTTCCAATACTTAAACAGTCACTTTTCCTTTAGCGAGGGTTGCTCAATACATGCTTTATATATTTGTCAGTGGGGGGGGCCATGTCACGTCTGGGCTGCGCGTCTCAGCGGGGGGGAGCTGTCAGCCAGTTCCCGTAGTGTAGTGGTTATCACGTTCGCCTAACACGCGAAAGGTCCCCGGTTCGAGACCGGGCGGGAACAGATTTTGTTTTGTATTCACCAGAAAGGTTGATATTGTCCCTTTTTAAAAATGCTCCAATGACAAGTATTGGAACAATTATTCACCAAAATGAATGAAGGAAAAAGTTTGCTTTGTGGTGAATGTACATGTACTATATTGCTGCTCTCTTTTTTTGTTAGGCAGTCTCCTCTATGGGGATAATATTTCTTTATGTATGAAACCTTATTTATTCACATACTGTTGCCTAATGTTTTCCTGACTCTGTTGTGTCTTTCAGCTGGATCCTCAGACAGTGCAGTCCAAGAACTGGCACATGGACGTCATAGAGATGAACGGGGTGAGACACAACACTATCTTACATTATGAAATACTTGTAAATATTGTATTGAGATATGTTGTGTTAGGCAAATGCAATGTAAGTTTTTCTGACTGCATACTGTTTTCCAATGGTCTGTCTTCAACACTGCTTAAGCACCTGCAGGAAGAGAACGTGGGATTTAGAAATATGTGTTGGTGTCCTCAAAAGTACAGATTTTAGGAAAGAAAAATTGAGTTGGTTATATAAACCAAACTCCAGGGAGAAATTATGTTTGGCTGTAATGTTTACAATAAGATCAAGTTGTTTAGATGTTTAGCTCGAAGATGTTGGATATTCAATTTCAATGTCATAAACTCTCTGATTCAATGCATACAAAGAAGAAAAAGTTCATTTCTGGCTTCGTAGAGAAATGCGCTTTACTTCAGCTGTGTTGTTGTTCATCTTCAGATCAAAGTGGAGTTCTCCATGAAGTTTACAAGTCGGGACCTCAGCTTAAAGAGAACGCCGTCCAAAAAACAGAGCGGGGTGTTTGGAGTCAAAATCAACGTGGTGACAAAGTAAGTACGATTTTGTTAATTTGACCCAAATAGGCTGTTACTGTAGATAACAAAATATAACTTTGTTGTCTGCTCTTCACGTGGACAGGCGCGAGCGCTCCAAGGTGCCTTACATCGTCCGGCAGTGCATTGAAGAGGTGGAAAAGAGGGGGATCGACGAAGTGGGAATCTACAGGATCTCAGGGGTGGCCACTGACATCCAGGCCCTCAAATTAGTGTTTGACACCAGTAAGACTCCTCTCCCTGTCTCTCTGTTGAACACTCTTATCCTGAGCCATATTACAATGATTCACTGATGAGATTTTGGAGCAAATGAAGTGGTCCATATTGGTGGTAAACACAAGGAAAAGCTATAAAGTCATATTCTAACATAACATTCAAGAGCTACAACTAATGTTGTCCATCATTTTCTCCATGAACTGAGTATTATTATGGTCTATAAAATTACAGAAAAGTGTTAAAAAAATGTCAATCAGTGTTTCCCCAAGTTAAATAGGTCCTGTTTAGTCCACAACTCAAAGAGATTGAGTTGCTGAGAATTAAGAAACAAGAAAATATTCATATTTAAAAAGCTGGATATGAATTTCGGCCACTTTTCCGAAGAAAAAAAATGGCTCCAACCCTTTGATCGATTGTTTAAATAGTAGTGATTTATTATGAAGTTGCCAAATTATCGATTGGTAAATTATCGAGCTTTATTGACTTGTCTGTTGAAATGTTGTGTATGAAAATTGTGGTTGTACATAAAACTGTTTTAGATGCAGCCCACAGTTGTTTCATTGCAATTGAGAATTGTGGGAACTGACTCTCAGTGATGGTCACACGGCTGCAGTAACATCTTTGTGTGTTATACGTCTCTGTCTGCATCTTGGATAATTGACAGATCTTGCTAAAGGAGCAGCTGTGTTATTGTCCGTCTGTCATACCGTAGTCCTCTTTCTAATGGCTCCTGGTTTGTTTCCGCCCTGCAGATACCAAAGATATCCTGGTGATGCTGAGCGATATGGACATCAACGCCATTGCAGGAACACTGAAGCTGTACTTCAGGGAGCTGCCGGAGCCTCTGCTCACCGACCGCCTCTACCCCGCCTTCATGGAGGGCATCGGTGAGACCTTTAACCCTGAATCACTATCAGGTTTTATTAGGGGTATAACATAAACACAGTTAGAGGAATAACGTTTTCATTCAAGAGAGGTATTATTGAGATAAGATGAAATAAGATATACATTATTGATACCAAATTGCGATTTCTTTTTGTCACAGCAGCATGGAAAATCGCACCTAATTTGCTAAATAAAAAGATTAGAAAATAAACAAACATAACATAGAAACATCTCAAATTGAAGATAAAACAGAACGAAAATCTCAAAGTAGGATATTAATAACATTAAGTGTGCAAGGAATTGCAAAATAAATGAAATAAAAAATGTGCATTGTGAAGAAAAGTTCAGTTTTAAGTTATAGGTCCAGCTAGCAGAAGAGAAACCTTTGTGAGAAAATATCCAATAAAATGTGCAAGAAGCTGACAAGACGAAATGTTTTATGAGACGAGAGGTTTTGGACCTGATGGACCTCAGCCTCCTGTTAGAGGGGAGCGTCTTAAAAAGTTTGTGTCCAGGGTGGGAGGGGTGGAGTGTTTGTTTGTGTCTTCAGTGGGGAGTTACATTTGCCCAGCTACAATAGATAAGAGCTGAATTTAAAGAGACGTCTTGCTGTAACCAGATGTGACATCTTTCTCCCCCCCCCCCGCAGCGCTCTCTGACCCCGCAGCCAAGGAGAACTGCATGATGCACCTGCTGCGCTCCCTGCCGGACCCCAACCTCATGACCTTCCTCCCCCTGCTGGACCACCTCAAACGGTACACACACTCTCCGTCAGATAGAGTGGAACTTACTGCTTTGGTCCGAGTTACATATTCCTTTAAGTCCTACAGAGCATATTCAAATCATTTTTCTATGCTTTAACATATATGCATTTCTTGTCAAAACATCCCCTGAATGAGGTTGTACACATTCCTTTAGCGAGGGTTGCTCAATACATGCTTTCAATATTTGTCAGTGGGGGTGCTGAGTCACATCTGGGCCGCGCGTCTCAGCGCCCAGATCACGTTTGCCTAACACGCGAAAGGTCACCGGTTCGAGACCGGGCGGGAACAGTTTTCGTTTTGTATTCACCTCATACAGGTGGTGTGTTTCTCTCAAAAAGCACTGAAAAATCTGAAACGTTAACTAAGTGTAAAATGTAAATGCAAATGTAAACTACATTTATTAGGTTAGCTGAAAGTTTAAATAAAGAAAATGTGAGGTTAAACTTCAATCGTTATCTGAAATTTGTTGAGATAATACACTTAAAGTCAACGTTTCAGTTTGTTCAGTGGAACCCTTTGGCTGTGTTTTCCCTCTGTTTGTCCTCCCTGACTGACGGGCCTGCTGCTGTTTGTTCTGCAGCGTGGCGGAGAAGGAGCCCGTCAACAAGATGTCCCTCCACAACCTGGCCACGGTGTTTGGCCCCACTCTGCTCAGGCCCTCAGAGTCCGAGATCGCAAAGGCTCAGCACATCACCTCTGCCTCTGACATATGGTCACATGACGTGATGGCGCAGGTAACTACACAACGGCACCTGAAAATGTTTATCTTTGCCAAAACGTTAGCAATGTTAAGACAATGTTTTCCATATCATTATAGAAGTGTAACCGTGCAGAGTAGAGGAGAGATATGAGAGCGGTGTGTACATGCAGATTCCCTCGTTTCCTGCACATGTTTTTCCGTGGATTCCCTCCCACGTCTCTCATTGACCCCTGTCACTTCGGTGCTCCCTCCCAGCTGTATTTAGGCTGCTGGCCATGTATTCATGTCTTCTGAGAGATGAGTTTCCTGTGCACAAATGTATTTTCTTGGCAGAATAAACAACTTCCAGAGTAAATCATCATAAATGGGGCAGCATGCGCATGCAGGAGGCCCCGCCCATCCATTACTGTGACGTTCACTGTTAGTACGGGGGTCTTCTTTCGAATTCTGACTGTTTATCACATAAGTAAACAAAATGTCAAACACCAAGGAAAGATGCTTCCGCCACCAAAATACAATCTAAAATGGGGACATGATGAATTTGCCGTAAAGTTAATAAAATCTAATCTATGTGTTAAAATGCTAGTAAAAAAGTATGTTTATTCTCAACATTTCAACGATATTCTCAAAATGGTATCGGATATTATTCTCAACATTTTGACTCAACATTATAATAATAATGATATTTGTTCCTCTCATACCAGGCACTTACTATTGAGTAGATGAGCCTCAGTGAAGGGGGGAATATTGAGGGACATTGCAAGGGGGAACATTGGACTGAAAATGTGAGTTAAACATTAACAGCAGACGGGTAGCAACCTCCTAAGGTAAATTACAGTTTTCAGAGGGAAAAACTTTTCACAAAAGCGCTGAATTAGACAGAAGTCCAACATCAAAGCAGACAAACAAACTTAAATATGAACCAAACGGTATATGGTCCTTACCAGTCTAACACAAAATCCATAATAAACGTTCAAATTCACTAAAAGAGGGAAAAGCCTTTTAAATCATTATGTATTGCGTTCTATATTACGATTTTAAAAAGCCTGGAAATATATGCATGCGTGCTTCAGTTCATGTGGTTAATTTTTTTTTAGGAGAAAAGTAATAAGGAATCGGATCAAAGTGACCTTAGAGATAAAACTATGCTTCAATGATTAGGGTTCTCTTCCATAAACTGTCAATTAAAGGAATGTAATAAATTAGTTAGATTGATATCTTGAAGACTTTAAAAGCCCTGCACTATGCTGCGTTCCAGACCATATTGAACTTCAAAATGTCCACACTCGGTGTTCAAAGTACAATGTCAACCAAAGTCGTAGTAAACTAAGGAGAGATCCATTGAGCACGACTTCATGGAGAAGCAGTTGTCTGACCTCACAAAGCAACAAAGTGCACATTGTACATGGTAAACCATTAACAAAAAAGTTGTGTCTATATTTTATTAAAATATGAAATACCATCATATAATAAAACCTCTTCTGCATGTAAATCCAAGTCAAAATGTGTCACTAATGTTATAAGGTAGCTGGTTATAGTTAACAATCTCTGAAAGTGATCTTCTCTTCACAAAGGTTATTTGGGAAAACTTAAAAAATGGCAACAAAAGAAATGTGGTGGCTGTACCGCTTCTGTGCCAAATAAACTGTATTTGTCTGTCACAATAAGCAATGATTTCTGTTTATGATTTTGCGTCGAGCACCTGGAACTCTTGGAAGTAGTAAGTTGCTTATTTCAACTGGGAAAATCCCAATTCCGAGTTGTCTTGAACACAGCATAGGATGGAGTAGAAGACCGACGAGTAGGATAATATGGACTGTTTATGAATGAATAACAATAAGTGGTTTTCTGTTTCCTCAGGTCCAGGTGCTGCTCTACTACCTGCAGCATCCTCCCATCTCCTTCGCGGAACTGAAGCGCAACACGCTCTACTATTCCACTGACGTTTAAACCACCCCCCACCATCACCACCTCCCTCAGGGCGCCATACAGAGAGGAGAGAGAGAGAGACTCCATACAAACCCTGGTCCTTGCCGACCGGTGGTCCTGCCTCAGCTCTCCTCCCAGCAGGCTGCTCATCTTGACTCGTACCACGACCCCCCCCCCCCCCCCTTCCCCCTACCACACATACACACACACATCCCTCCCTGAACCCACCACCTTCTCCCCCGGTCCTGAAAAGAGATGAAGCCTGTCAATATGGAGGCGGTGACGGAGACTTCCCGGTCATCTATTCGTCACGTTTGTAAACTAAGGAGAGTAAAGCCCCCAGCGCCTCCCGCTCCCAGGACAAGGCATTCTGGGAGCTCATCAGGGAAATCTAGAGGGGGTCAGGATCACGTGGTGTCATTTAGTGAGCACTTTCCAGACGACTCCAGCTTCTTATTCCTTGATCAGAGGCATGCCAGAAAAAATGGCATTTTCATGTGTGATAATTATGTTTTCTCTCCTTTTTTCTGTCTTTCTGGCCTAATGCATGTGGTGGAGGAGACTGGGGGTGTGAGTGACGACGTGGATGCACTTGAGTGAGTGAGTGTGTGTTTAAAGGGACTTTGAGAACTTGTGAGGTTTAGAAGTGGCTGGGAAGCCGTCCTAATACATGGCTGGTGACGCGTCTCTCTGTTCTGACAGGACGAGAGAGAGCTGCCCTCCCCGGTGAGTCTCGGCCAAATTAGCCCTATTTATTTTAAATATATATAATATGTGTGCCTGTACAGTTCTGTGCAACTAGAGAAATGCTCAAAGGAGTCTGTTTTTTGAAGTTTATTCAGTTAGTGATGTTATTTTTAGCTTCTCATTCACCATGTCCATGGTTGGTAAGCTGTACTGAAAAGATGGACATAAAGTCTGCCAGTTAATTTCAGATCACTTTGTAAAGGAAGGGCACTCTGGGACATGAGGGTTATTGGGGGGAAAACACAACAAATGGAACATTCTTTTTATTTCTCTCGTTGTTTCATTGCAAGCCTGTTCCAAGTGTCTTACTGCACCGGTATAATCTATAGAGTTGATTTGTGTAGTTGCCCTCATTGCATGTTCAGCTTGTCAATCAAACCAGGCAGGGTAACAGAAAGGTAGGTTGTCTCTGCGCAGCCCGCTGAGACTGGCTGATCCCATCTCTGCTCTGTACAAAGCCAACCTTTCTGCTATCAAGCCTGCGACATATCTTAAAATACTGTAAGCACTGCTAGATGAGTACTATTTGATATTTTTAATATAAGATGAAAATAAAAATAAAAAATGTTGTATTTTACTTCCTTTGAGAAGAATTTCAATATACTGTAATATTGAGGATTAAATGTCAATGTGAACTTTTCCCCCCATTTTTTTTTAGTAAAATAAAAGTTACCAAAACACTCTCTTTGTGTCCATCTGTTTCAATACTTGTCTGTGGAAACAATGCGTCATCTTCACTTACACACGGTTTGATATTGCTTATTCAATTGAGTAACAATAATAAAACATCGCAAATACATTATCACCTGAATTATAATTTATAGAATGTTGAACCTTTTGAAGCCCCTTTTACTGGATATGTTACTATTTTTTTCCCATATTAACAATTAATAATCATTCATCACATTCTGCTACGTCAGCAGTTGGAGTTCTTCCCCTATTGAAATATTAATCCACGTTTGGAAATGTAAAGTGATTGCACCACCTGGTGGTCAATTTACAAACTGTTTAAAGTAACTCCCAGTGGAAGTGACACTCAGGCTGTACATCTGTGCAGTTAACCCTCTGATTTGTTAAAATATTAAGGGCAAACCTGCTGACCTCTGTTCAAATTGGTGGTGGTATATTTCCCACAAAATCTGCATGTTTTCCTTGCAGCATTTTAGATTAGATTGTTAAAGAGCATTTACCAACCAATCTTCTTCATTTCTTGTCTGACTTAAAGGGTATAGACCCAACAGTCCTTCAGCTTCTTTCATTGGTTATAGAGGGATGAGGATACGTTTTTGTTAAATATTGAATATATTTGTATTTTGTGCAAGTGTTTCCGGCCCTTGTGAGCTCCCATGAGGAGCAGTGCAGAGCTCTGAAGCCCAGTCAATCTCAGACCAAGGTTGCTGACCTAAACCTGCCATGGGGGGGAATCCTCTGAGTCCATCGATGGATCCAAGCTCGCGGTGAACCCTGTGGTTCCTTCCCTGTTCCTTACTACCAGCATTTTAAAAAGATATTTTAATACATTTTTATAACATACCATGGAATATTTGTTTCATAACTGGAAAAATTAATAACAATAGAAACCAGGATATTGATCATTTATAAATGTGATTTATAAATCAATTTAACATCATTTGTTGTCGTTTCCGGGCCGAGTGGAGAGTTCTGAAGCAGTCAATCACAGGTTTTGGATCTTCCTCTGCCTCAGGGGGAATCTTCAGAGTCCACTGCCTGGATCGAAGCTCGCCGCGAGACTCATGGAGGATGCCATTCCTGAATTTCAGAACTCTCTGCAGGTTCCTCTGGGATCTGGATCTCTCTTAGAGCTCTCTGAGAAAAATCACAGAGCTCTATATCTGACTTATTCTGAGAGTACTATTTGTAAAAAAAATATTTTAATCACAGACCATTTTATACTACCACCATTACACAGTGTATACATACCATACAATATTTGTTTTATGACTGTCCTCTGGGATCTGGATCTCTCTTCCAGTGCCCTGTGATTTTTTTCAGAGCACTATCACTGACTAATAGTGACTATACAGATCAAGTTTGATTGAATGAATGAAGCACACATTTATTATACAGCAACCCAAATACATTTTGTACTGGACAATTACAATTGTTTAGGTTCTTTTTGTATTTAATTGATAAAGCTGCTGTACTTTGCTCTTAATGCTGCCTCAGCTGTAAATGCATTGTGTAGTCTGTCTGCTAACATGAAGCAGTTATCCTGCTGACATCAGTGTATTTGGGTTTTCCAGAGAAGCGTATGATTTGCTTATATAGTCTTTAGATGTTTGAATAAACCGGCTGTATTCATTTTGAATGTGTATAATTGAGAGGGTCAGGATGCATAGCTTCAAACCCTGAAGCATTTTAAATATGTAACCTGTTTATAGCTGCACTCAGCTGTTACACAATAGTCTGCACTATTACATTTACATGAAATTAAAGTATTCTCAAAAAGCAAAACGTTACACTGTGACCAGCCTGACATTATCACAAGAAATCCCACTATCCAACAAACTAAAGATATGATTTTCTCTGTGTTGTACTGATAACTTATGAAAACATCTGCACCAGATTCATAAGAAGCTCACTACAGGCTCTATTGGGTCTGAGTGGGAAACCCAAAACTATTTCCTTCCTGTACATCACAGAATTATTATAAATATATAAACATATTACATAAATTCAAACTTGAATCAAGACTATAATTAAAAGCAAATTTAAGATGTCTTTAGTCGTGGACACCTTTAAACTTCAAGAAAAAAATTCTAATCAATTTAACAAAAAAACACATGTTTAATATAAATTATCTGGATCTGGGTTAGTTACACAGTAAACACTGAATCAGAGTGAAGAGGAATTATGTTCAGCATTTTCATTATACCGTCCCCAGAGAAGCAGATCCCCTCTGCTCTCTGACCATGAGGTGAAACTGAAGCTTCTCTGGAAACAAAGAGGTGCACATTGTGCACAGGAACAGGATCCCTCACTTCCCCAAATCATCACTTCTGCTTTCTCAGCAGTCCTCCATGTGAGGGTAAATATTCACCAGTTGGATTTCTTTCAGGGCACTTGCATCATTTAAGTCCATACACTCTTGAGTGGTTCACCGTAGATAATATTCGATGGCAGCAGAGAATGCAGCGAAGCCTCCGCATCCCAGCACCCCCGCCTTCAGACCCGCTAAAAACAGGAACAAAATTACATGTGAGGACACAAGAAACATACTGCCTTTAATGAAAAACATCAATGTAAATGTAGCAGGTCACATACCACGGAACCCAATGGCTCCTCCAGTTACACAGCCGCTGTACACTGCGTTCTTCCAGTCAGAAACGCCTCTGTGCTGCGGATGAAAAGAAGAGAGGAGGAACCGGTTAGCATGGTGCTATATCTGAACTGTCATGAATGGATCAGGGCTGTTTTGTTTATTTTGCACACTTTAAAATTGGGTAATCAAAAAAACAAAACAGTTTTGCACTAGAGGGCGCTGTCAGGCCATGTTAAGGGAGGTTAAAAAGAAAAAAACACAACCATGAACACACGAAAACATCTCAAACATTTTACATTATTACAATAACAATTTGGCAAAGGCATTTCCTTTACAGTCAATGTCATCCCACCATCATTGGTCACACATAATGCTAACTGCACTGCATTTATGTAGCGCTTTTCTAATCTTTGCAACCTCTCAAAGTGCTTTAACATCCCATGCCAGCATTCACCTATACACCTACACATTCATAAAGAGGCCCCCCCCCCCACAGGCGTGAGACTTACTGATTCTATGACGCACTCTGTGCATGAAAACATGGCACCAATAACGGCAAAGTTCTTTGCGTACGACATCCCTCTCTGTCCCATGTCTTTGAGGACTTCTCGTGCTGATGGAGTTCTCAGAGGGTCTTTGGGGTCAAAGCCAACATTGGTATCGATGCCAGCAGTAAAAACACCAAAAGCTCCTCCGAGGACAAAACCTGTGGGAAGGTAAAAAATGAAATCAGTGTCTGCTGCACAATAAATCACAACAATATTTACAGGGGATAAAAGATGCATACTGTTACTAATCCAAGAAATATTACGGATCATAGATGGGTAATGCATATATAATAGGCCTTAAATTGACAATGATTTTCTATTATGTATTCATCTTTCATCTGTAAAATACTAAACTATCACAATTTCCAAAGCTTTTAACTGTTTTTTTTTTTACTAGATGTACACTACAAAACCTTAAGATGTCTTCATGTTGCAGGCCTACATATCAACTGTGTTTTTCTGAGGTTGATTTTTCTTTTGCCTCTTTTTATTTCACTACTGTTTATGCTTTTCAGTGTTTTATGTATCCAGACACACTTGCATTTGCATTTGCGTTTGTTGCATTTGTTGCTTGTTTTTGTCTTTGTTATTGTATTTGTAATGGATGACTGCAAAAGCGTTTTAGGCTCCCTTCTTCTCCTGCACTGTAACTTCATTGTATGCATTAGGTAGTCATTTTTATGCAAACAAAAATTTAAAAATAACTGAAAAGCAGACACAGAAAAACTTAGTTTTGTGTCTGCCAAAATATAACTCAACTAATAAATAATGATAACCCAGTAGTAATAATCTCCCCCTTCTCCAGCTACAACATTGAAACGATACACATAACGACACATCAATAAAACAATAATTCCCAATAAATTGGGAGACACTACATAATAAGCACTTTTACCGTCGGTACTTTAGATACATTTTGATGCAAATACCTTTATAGATTTTGAATGTAGGACTTTTAACTGAGTATTTTTAAACTGTGTCTGTCAGAGTACTACCCACACATACTGACCAGTTATCCTAATGTTAACGTGGTGTCTTTGCTTACCTCCAACACAGGCCAGGACAGCCTTGAAGGCGCAGCTCTCCATTCCCCTCTCGATCATCTTCTGCTCGTCGCTTTTCATAGGCATCGGCAGCCCCCCCATGATGCCGGGGCTCAGCTCCTTCACGGCCCTCTTATCCCCGATGAGGTGCTCCAGGATCAGGCTGTACTGGATCGGCGGGCTCTCCATGCCCGGAGCAGCCGAAGCTGGACCTTTTAAGTCAGAGGCAGCGACTCCTGCTTCATCCATGGAGGCAGCCATGTTTTCAATGACAGTGCCGCTGTACGTAAATGTAGTCAAGGGTGAGCGAGGGCAGATTCGTTACATATGTAATGCGTGACGTCTGAAAACAGAAAGAGTTAGAATACATTTTAAGCATATAGTTTTCACTTAATGACCAAAAATTATACATTTAATTTGTAACGTTCTAGCTGTTTTTCTCATGACAAACGGCTAGCACATTCGACACAAAGTCAACATGCCTATGCAACATCAATACCTATCATGCATTCTGTTTTTCATGAAACCTTAAGGTGATTTTCGAGGCTGTAGCTTTTTTTTTTTTTGTTGAATTATATTGCGTTACATGTGTTTAAGAAATTGGTCCATAGCCTACGGTTTTATGAGTCTGTACATATTATAATACAAATGTATATTGTCCCTAAAGTAATTTATATTGTGTCAGAGAGGTGTTGTACTCATGAAATATTCATTAGTATGTACATATTATAATATACATCATTGTTGATGACATGACTGGCTTTAGCCGAAGATACTGAACTCTCTCAATAGGACACTTTTTATTGGAGTTTTCATGAACAATCCCAAGGAATACTTTTTGGTTTGTAATATTCTTAATATAAAGAAATTCTTTAAATAAAGAAAGAAAATGTGATTTAAACCGAAAGACTTAATCAAGAGCAAGACTACACTTCCCAGAAATCTCCGCGAGCACTGCGCCAAACTCGCTTCACGCGCTCCACCTACCGGCTCCTTGAGCGCTGGCCGGTGGTGACACTATAATGACTCCCGTGTGCGACGCGGCGGCGGCAGCAGCATCCTGATCAGACAACAGCAGCAGCTCCGCCGCAACACAGCCCAGGTGAGAGCTAGTTGCTAATGCTCTTTCATTTATGACAGTCTACTGCATTTATTCCTGTTTTTACCATTTTGCTGAGTGAACATGTGTAAACTTTACCGTTAACGCTGCTGACGTGCGACATTACCGAAGCTGTCACAGAGTCGCTCGGTGTCTTTGGTCAGTTGAGATAAAAAAGAAAATGACTTTGATGACAGCTTGACTGTTAGCAGCACTTACTGTCACAGGACGGCTATGTTCCTTTAATTTAATGACTCAGTCTTTCTGAAGCGGACGTGTCTATCTATGACAACGTCTGCCATAAAATTTGCCAAAGGACAGGTTGTTTGCATGCTAATTAAACGTCTCACTGTTTGACATGTTAGGCAAATATTTAGAATTACGCGGGCGCCTACAAGACGTCGTTTTACCTTTTGTTCAGTTTGCTCCATGCCAAGTCCTGAGTTCAACAGGATTCTCGCTCGATCAATACACCCCATCTGCTTGAATCAAAATATGCCTTTTCATAAGCTAAATTCTGTTTCTACCTTTGTTATAACATTCAACAGTTTTTATATTTTCGTTGCTAAGGGATGTCTGGTAGTGTAATGTTGTGAACCTGTCACCAGAACATCCAGAAACATCTTCAAATCTTAATTCCCATCATTAAAGTATAAATGCTGCGTCAAAGCCTTGTCCACACAGCCAGGATTAGTGCAATTTAAAGGGTCGTCTTTTATTTATTTATTATTTTGTAAGCCAACAAATTATTAATTGTACATATTAGGTCCAACAATATATGAACAAAGTTATGGCATATATCCACCATGTGTGAGTTTTTAATCGTAAAAAGTACACTCAGATTCGAGTGCTTAAGATGTGGACCTGAACTAATAAAATGTTAACAATTAATATATTTTATATAATATTTTTTAATTAAATTACAAACATTTGTAATCAATGAAGATGGTCTTCTTAGAACTTTATGTGGTAGCTATACACTGTGCTTCACCAGCTTCTAAACTCCCCAAATAAACACGCAAATTCATTTCCCAATTTAGCTGTACTGCTAAGGTTTTCCTGTCATTTTATGTACAGTTCACATGTGCTGCCAATGGAAAGTTGCATTTGGAAGCACTTCAGTGCGCTGCTAGCTGTTTTTCTTCACATGATCAGCCATTTGTTCCTCATCACACCAGGACCATGTGAAGGAGTCAAACAAGGCCTTCTTTTCTTTAATGTAGTTATTTTTGAAAGGTGGTTGTTTTGTGTTTAATAGGTCCTTAAATGCTTAATTAAAGCAAACTTTCCTGACTAAGCTCCTGTGTTAAATTCTCACCTAACACTTACTGTTGAAACCCACATTACTAAGGTGTTTCAGACACATCTGAATAAATGAACAAATGAACATATAATGATGTATTTAGGCCATGGACTTTTATTTATTGTGTGCAGCTAATAGGACATTTCTATAATGACCTAAGGGAAAATAAAACTTCCTAATTGCAGGGCTTACGTTTTAGTCTTGTGTTTATAGAAGAGAGCAGCCTTGCAGTGGAATTGGCATGTGTCCCTAGGGACAAACCAAATGGGCAACAAATGACAGATTTCACTTTCTTCTGTTCCCTTTGATTACGCCATTCGAATGGAGAGTTAAAAATGAGCAGTGCACCAGTCATTTATGGGGCAGTGAATGTGAATGTTGTTTGTAGAAAATTATACTCTTTGTTTTTCTCACGGTTAACCATCCAAGAAAGGGAAAGGTTTGAAATCTGCCAGATCCAAAACAGACCAGGGATGACTGGTCTTGTAATTAGGCCAGACACTGAGGAAAGTGAATAAAAGCTTCACATTTGCTATCCGTCAGTTTGAATTTGTTGATTTCATGACTTGATGTTTGTCATCGGCAGAACCCTCTCTTTTGTAATCATACTTGCTATGTCCTTGTAGCTGAAGCAGTGGATCTCCTTTTTATTTATCTATAGCTGTTCTAATTCCCAGTTCAGGCTTCTGTCATTGGCTTGCATGTGTTATGTGGGGAGCATCCATGTCCAGTTGTACAGCGGTGGTATTGCTTGTTTTGTTGGGGGGAAAACAACCTGGTGATCTCCTTGATAACTCTGCTCAATGGGAAGAATGAAATATAGAAATGTGTGACTCTCTAAAGGAAATGCAAGATCACTTCTCATTGCTCTCCCACACACTCGGGATTATCTTCTACCCGTGCTGCTGTCCTGGATTCACTTGTGATGCCTTGAGACTGTGAGTAGAACATTTGCATTTACTGGAGTCTTTCATCCACTTGCTCTAACTGTAATATGAAATGAGTCAGGGTGGGGGTGGGGTAACAACGTTTAGAGTGACCTTGTCCAGCTGTGGTAAGATGTGTGAAAGGCAGATTGCAGGGATGGAGTCCTCTACACTGTCATTCACAGAACCGGCCCGACCCATCAAGCGACATAAGCGGCCGCTTAGGGCCCTGCAGCCACTAGGGGCCCCCTAGCAAAACAAAAATAATGAAAAAAAATAAAAATAATAATAATCTCAGTGCACCGTCGCCGTGATAAGTATGTTTAATTAATTGTGTTAATATGCCTAGATTGCCTACTCTCAAAGTCATGTATTATATTATTAAGTCAATCATATAATTAGGGCCGGGACTTTAACGCGTTAATTAAGATTAATTAATTACACACAAATTAACGCGTTAAAAATACTGTAGCACCAACTAACGTTCATGACTTCAGACAACAACAAATCACAGTGAACAATAGTCAAACATGAACGAAGAAGCTGATGAGACCGCTTTGGTTGGCCCCGTGAATGGGACATTTTGTTTTAAAAAACGGACGGATGGAAGCGTCAATAAGAGCACGGTTGTTTGCAAATTATGCAAAAAGGAATTCGCATATCACCGCAGCACATCAAGCCTCAAGTATCACCTCAATGCAAAACATATAGCAGCTAGCGTGGAAGCTAGCGTGGGCGTTACACCGACTCGGAGTACAAGGACCCACACCCAATTCGCGTTGATCAAACAGTGGCCTATGCAACAGAGAGATTTTATTTTTCATCAGGATATTGAAAGAATATTTTTTATTTTATTTTAAATGGTACACTTTATGTTGAACTATTTATTATGTTGTTGGTGCAACTGGCACTTTATGTTGAACTGTTTATTGTTTTGGTCAAGGTTATTGAGAGAGTTGGACTGAAATTGATTAGATTTTTCTAAATCAACTGTTGGTAAATCAACAAAGTCTGTTATGGCCTCTGAAGCAACAGAGAGATGTTTTCTAATAGTCAGGGTTTCCAATGTTCTGAATGTACTTGAAAGTATTGTGTTTACTTAAAAAACAAAGTGTTATAGTTTACAGAAGGTCTACCTACCTATAGGCTACCTGAATCTCTGAAATGTACTATATTCCTAAATATGCTATTGCTACACTTTATGGCAAAAATAGCACTTTTC